AAAAAAAAAATTAAAAAAAAAAGAAGCAATACAATGCCTCCATGGTAATAGGCAAGGAGCCCGATAAAACAAGTTTGACACTAAGCTGATTCAAATACAGCAAGCAACAAAAACAAGCACTCTCTTTTGAGCATCTTCATTTCTCGTGCAGCCATACGAAGTTTTCCAAGAGCTGCTAGCCAACTTCTAGCAGATTAAAATCTTGAAAATAAGCTAAAAGAAGGAACTTCACAATATTTTTACAGTACTGTACATAATTTACAACTACTATACAAAAACACACATTTAATACAAATAATACTGTAACATAACAATATAATTATTGTCCAGCAAAGAATCCGCGGGAGATGTCCAACTCACTTGGAGCAGCTGTGCATTCTCCATCATGATTCCTCTTAGGGGACGCACCAGGGCGATCACACTGTAAAGACAAAACAAGTGCTTAAGTGTGAAAAGTTAGTACAGTTGACACTTGAACAATGTGGGGGTTGGACGCCAAACCCCTGTACAGTTGAAAATCTGCATATAACTTCTGACTCGCCCCAAAACTTAATAGCCTACTGATGACCAGAAGCCTTACCAATAACATAAACAGTCGACTAACATATATTTTGTATGTTATCTGTACTATGTACTATATTTTTACAATGAAATGAGCTGGAGCAAATAAAAAAAATCATGAGAAAATACATTTACATTATTGTATTTACTAACAAAAGCTGTGTATAAGTGGACTTGTACAGTTCAAACTTGTGTTGTTCAAGGGTCCAGCTGCATTTTGAGATCATTAACTGATCCAGAGCTCTCATGCTTAAATTCTCTCCACATAAATTATGTTTATTTCAACCAGCACAGCTCTTCTTACAAAGGTACTGTAACTATTAGACACAGGAGTTGTTTGCCAAGTTGGCCAACTTAGCTCTAACATGTTATTGGGTCTAAGGACATGGATTTAACCCCCATATAAACGACTTGACTTTCCTTGGTTCCAGAGTTATATTCTCCAGCCCTAACCCCAGGAAACAGCCTAGTAAATGCAGGAACTATACACAGCACAAGTAGCTGTGCATATATGACCCCATCAGCATGACAAGAAAAACTCAAAGTGCACATTCTTTAAAATAGTAATTGTAGATTTAATTAACAAAAATGACTGAAATAGAAGCAGTGACCATTTGCTGAGCACTTTTTGCAGGTCAGGCACTGTCACTGTTCTAAGCAATCTACATGAATGATCTCATTTAACACCCCCCAAATCCTACAAGGTAGACATCATCATCATCATCCCTATTTTATGCAAAAGGGTAACTGGACACCAAAACATTAAGTAATCTGCTTGAAGTTAGGTCTAATTCCAAAACCACACTGCAATACTTCTTCCTATAATAATTCTAAACTTAAGAACTAAAGGGGTAGTAATACAGAACCGAATTGTTGCAAAAATAGGTAAGTTCACAAATATCCCAGCAGAAATTTTAAATGAAATGAAGCAAAATGAGGTGATGTTTTCTAAAGGACCAAACCAGTTTCAAAAGGACCAACCCTAATAAGCCAAATGATCTCCAAACTCCAAGATGGAAAGTTTTCATACCACTGCACCAGATGCTGGGTGGACGATCCACGCGTATTCTGGACGAATGAGTCGTAAACAGTTAACAGCGGCCAAGTAACAGTTGCCTTGCTTCTCAAGTCCCCGCAGAGTTCGAACTTCTCTGCCAAGACGCATTCCATACTCAAACATCACTGTACCAGCTAGGAGGCAATAATAAGTCAGACATCAGAACTTCAAAAACGTGTTTTAGACGGGCGCCTGACTGGCTCTGCCCGAAGAGTATGTGACTCTTAATCCTGGGGTTGTAAATTCAAGCCCCATGTTGGGTGTAGAGATTACTTAAAAAATAAAATATTAAAAAAATGTGTTTTAGAGAATCTGTTATACTAATCAAATAATAAAATTTAAAACAGGATTGAGTTTAACTTAAAACCCCCCAAAATCCTGGGGTATCTGGGTGGCTCAGTCGGTTGAGTGTCCAACTTCAGCTCAGGTCATGATCTCACGGTCCGTGAGTTCAAGCCCTGCGTTGGGCTCTGAGCTGACAGCTCAGAGCCTGGAGCCTGCTTCGGATTCTGTGTCTCCCTCTCTCTCTGCCCCTCCCTTGCTCATGCTTTGTCTTTCCCTCAAAAATAAACAAACATTAAAAACACACACACACACACACACACACACACACAATCCTGTGTTGGTGAGGATGTGGAAAAACTGAAACTGCTTTACACTGCTGGTGGGAATGTAAATTGCTGTACCTGCTATGGAAAACAGTATTGACAGTTCCTCAAAAAATTAAAAATGGGATTACCTTGTGATCCAGCAATTTCACTCCTGGACATATAGTCCAAATATGGAAAACAGGGCTTTGAGGAGATATTTGTATGCCCTTGTTCATAGCAGCCTTTACTCATATTATCCAAAAGATGATGGCAATCCAAGCATCCATTGATGGATGAACAAAATGTGACATATATATATAATGAAATATTGTTCAGTCTTAAAAAGAAGTTACATGTGGGCGCCTGGGTGGCTCAGTCGGTTAAGTGTCTGACTTCAACTCAGGTCATGATCTCACAGTTGGTGGGTTCGAGCCCTGCATCAGGCTCTGTGCTGACAGCTCAGAGCCTGGGGCCTGTTTTGGATTCTGTGTCTCCCTGTCTCTCTCTGCCCCTCGCCAGCTCATGCTTTCTTTCTGTCTCTCAAAAATAAATAAATGTGAAAAAAAATTTTTTTTCAAAAAGAGGTTACATGCTACAATATGGATGAACCTTGAAGATATTATGCTAAGTGAAATAAGCCAGTCAAAAGGGGTGCCTGGGTGGCTGAGTTGGTTAAGTGTCCGACTTTGACTCAGGTCATGTTCTCACAGCTGGTGAGTTTGAGCCCCACATCAGACTCGCACTGACAGTGCAGAGCCTGCTTGGGATTTTTCTCTCTCCCTCCCTGCCCCCTTCTGTCCCTCCTGCACTTGATCTCTCTCTCAAAATAAACAAACTTAAAAGCCAGTCACACACAAAAAATACTATAGGATTCCAGTAGCCAAATTCATATGGACAGAAAGTAGAATGATGGTTGCCAAGGGCTGCAGGAAGTGGAAATAGGAAGCTGTTGTTTAATGAGTATAGTGTTTTCATTTTGCAAGATGAAAAGTTCTGGACATTGGTTACATGTAATGTGAATGCACTTAGCATTACCGTATACTAAAAGTGGTTACGTTAGTAAAGCTTATATGTATTTTACTACAATAAAAAAAAAGAAAAAAGATCATGTAAATATCATTTCTGACATTCATTCATTCATTCATTCATTCATTCATTCATTCAGAAAGTAATCTCTATATCCAATGTGGGGCTTGTGATAACTCACAATCCTGAGATCAAAAGTCCCAAGCTCTACCAACTGAGGCAGCCAGGTGCCTCGATTTTTGACTTTTAGATACTACATTCCCAGACAGTACAGAAGACTAGTTTAGAAGGCTACTTTCAGCCACATTGTTACCTAATTCCACACCATGAGACCAAGAAATGTTTGGATGCTCTGCTCAAGAACAGATTATTTTTATAAAACTTTAGTTACACAGGTTGAATAAGATACTGAGGAACACCTTGTTCTGAGATAGCATGAGACTCCAGAAATCAAAGGGCATTAAAAATATCTTTTAGTTTTCATGGGGCGCCTGGGTGGCGCAGTCGGTTAAGCGTCCGACTTCAGCCAGGTCACGATCTCGCGGTCCGTGAGTTCGAGCCCCACGTCAGGCTCTGGGCTGATGGCTCAGAGCCTGGAGCCTGTTTCCGATTCTGTGTCTCCCTCTCTCTCTGCCCCTCCCCCGTTCATGCTCTGTCTCTCTCTGTCCCAAAAATAAATAAAAAACGTTGAAAAAAAATTTTTTTTAAAAATAAAAAAAAAATATCTTTTAGTTTTCAAATGAAACTATTTTTCATTCCAAGTTTTAAAGTTTATACAATTTTATTTAAATTGAAGTTAATTGACTTTTTCTCCCCAACAAATGTTTCTGAGTGCCTGCCATATGTAAGACATTTTGTTAGAAGAACAAGCCTTGCTTCAGAAAGACCTGGACATTAATCAGGCTAAACTGGTCTTAACCAAGTTGATGTAATGGATGTTGTAACTATAAACGCCAACAGGGAGCGGTACTTAATCACCTATATTTCTCTGTATGGGTCAAGGAGATAAGTAATACACACACGTTTTACCATTAGGAAAATTAAGAGCATGTCTACAAATTACTTCCATCTATTCTTGCCAATGAAAATCAGCAAGAAACCTTATTAAAAGTTTTCTGAGTGAAAATGGTATAAAAATGTTACCATTTCCAAAGGGGAACCACAATGGTGATCTTGTAAAATAAGATCTTCTAATAGACATGTAATCCCTTCATTTTAGCTGTTCTTTTTTTTTTTCCTGTCTCAAAGACTAATTTTTTTTTAAGCCTCCAAGGCTCAAATTTTTTTTTTTTTTTTTTTAAAGTTTATTTTATTTTTGGGACAGACAGAGACAGAGCATGAACGGGGGAGGGGCAGAGAGAGACGGAGACACAGAATCGGAAGCAGGCTCCAGGCTCCGAGCCATCAGCCCAGAGCCTGACGCGGGGCTCGAACTCAACGGACCGCGAGATCGTGACCTGGCTGAAGTCGGACGCCTAACCGACTGCGCCACCCAGGCGCCCCGGCTCAAAATTTTTTAAATGTTTATTTATTTTGAGAAAGAGTGAGAGGGTGTGTGTGCCTGTGTGAGCAGGGGGAGGAGGAGGGGGAGAGGGGGAGAGGGGGAGAGGGGAAGGGAGAGAATCCCAAGCAGGTTCTGTGCTGTCAGCAAATGCAGGGAGCCAGATGCAGGCAGGGGTTGATCTCCTGGACCCGGGAGATGGTGAACTCAGCTGAAATCGAGTCCAATGCTTAACCAAGTCAGTCACCCAGGTGTCCCATAATTTTTTTTTCTTTTAAATCTCTTTATTTAAGTATAGTTGACACAATGCCACATTAGTTTCAGGTGTACAACACAGTGATTCAACTCCTTTATACATTATGCTATGCTCATTTTAGCTGTTCTGATAGAGTCTTCATTAGTCATCATACAAATCCAAACTAAGATACATTCTACAAAAATAACTGGCTTGTACTCTTCAAAACTATCAATGACACCAAGGGCAAATTAAGGCCAAAAGAAGGGCTCCAGATTAAAGGAGACTAAAGAGACATGACAAATATGCAATATGTGATTCTGTTTTTAACCTTTTTTTTTTTTTGAGAGGCAGAGAGACACAGAACATGAGTGGGGGAGGGGCAGAGAGAGAGGGAGACACAGAATTTGAAGGAGGCTCCAGGCTCTGAGCTGTCAGCACAGAACCCGACGTGGGGCTTGAACCCACGACCTGAGCTGAAGTCAGACGCTTAACCGACAATCCACCCAGGTGCCTCTGATTCTTTTTTTTTTTTTTTAAGTTTATTTATTTTGAGAGAGTGAGAGTGGGGGAGAGACAGAGAGAGGGAGAGAGAGAATCCCAAGCAGACTCTGTACTGTCACTGCAGAGCCAGATGTGGGGCTCAAACTCACAAACCGCAAGATCATGACCTGAGCTGAAATCAAGGGTTGGATGCCCAAGCAACTGAGCCACCTAGGCGCCCTGAAATATTGTGATTCTAGACCAGGAGGTAAGGATGGTATAGGAGGAATGTGCTATAAAAATAATCATGATAGGGGCCTGTGGGTGGCTCAGTGGGCTGAGAATCTGACTCTTGATTTCGGTTCAGGTCATGATCTCACAGTTCCTGAGATTGAGCCCCATATTGGGCTCTGCGCTGTGAGTGCAGAGCCTGCTTGGGATTCTCTCTCTCCCTTCTCCCTTCTTACATGCATGCTCTCTCTCTCAAAATAAACTTTAAAAAATCACAATAGTATTATGTTTACATTTAATTCATGAAATTAGATGTATTTCCTTAATCTAATAATTGTATTGAAATTAAATAAGAAACTGTCCTTAGAAGATACATCTTAACTATGCATGAGCCAATGATGTCCATAACTTATTCTCAAAAGAATCAACAAAAATAAGAAAAGGCCAATAGCAAGCTGGCACAAGAAGTCACAACCAGCCACAAGAATTCAAGACGCCTCTAGTAAAAAAGTTAGTTTGTCTTAAAATCAGACAGAAGATATAGACGGAATGACATCTCGCTGGAAATACCTCAAGAATGTTCTAGAATGGGATAAGTGCATCTCTTTAAGGCTAGCTGGTAATCTTCAAAGGGGTGAAGCCAATCTTGTAATTAAATATAATTTCCCCAAATGCTTGTAGAGAACACTCATTCAATAGTAAAAATAAGGTAAAAATTACATAAGTCTAACAGTATTTTTGTAAACATGACTAAACTCTAAGGTTGCCCCCAACAAAGACTGTCGGCTTCAACCGCTCACCTTTTCGGTAGTTGTGGCGATAGATGTGAAAGGCATAGAGGAGCTCATAGTAATTGTGAGTCATAAGGTCCACGGCGCGTGCACGTGATTCAATTATTGCCACAACCTAAGGAAGGGGAAGCAATCAGATTTCAAAGCAGCTAGCGTAACAACCACCACAGCTGTGTCCAGTCAGCAGTGGACATGTAAAATTACCTCATTATGCAGATTCACATAGGGAAACTCTACAAGATCCTGTAGCTGCGAACGTTCACAAAGAACTACCACCAGCTGCCGCAGACAATCTAACCGCCTAGAAGGCAAAAAAAGGAGTGAAGGCAAACTGTCTCAGTGGATTAAATAGAGCTGGTAAACTGTCTTCTCTAAAAAAAGACTAGGATTGACTACCTGCTGGAATCAGGAATGTGGGTTAAGGCTTCATATGCTTGGCTATTGTGACCCAAATCCAAATGATGTTTGAAAATGCATGTCCTTAAAGTAGCCTAAATATCAAATATAGGGGGAAAAGAAGAGTAGAAATTGAAATACTACATCCAGGACCAATCTAAAGGGAAATAACTAGATTACAGTTAGTTCTTACCTGACTTTTCCAATCATCCCCTGCTTCAGTTATTGCTGACATGGCCAACTGAATAACCAGCTCAGGCAAACCAATAACATCTAGTAGACGCAAAACCTAGAGAAATAGAGAGAGTGTCCATGAAAATTAATATGGTAGTGCACTTCAAACTGAAATAGGATTTAAAACAATCAGAAAGACAACTAGTTAAGATCAAAGATACTGACTACAAGACAGGACTATTTGGTTAATATTTATGACTTTCCTTCAGGGAGAACTGTCTGGCTCAGTTAGAAGAGCATGTAACTCTTGATTTTGGGGTTGTGAGTTGGTGGCCACCCACGTTAGGTGTAGAGATTACTTAAAATAAATAAACACAATAAAAAAAAGACTTTCCTTTAGATTCTACTGTCAACAGACTTACTGTAAAATTTCCTATTGATCTTTTTGTTCACAGCTCCATCCTCAATGTTTAGGGCTCCCAGTAAGTATTGGTTGGCAATTTCACTAACTTTTCCTACTGTTTAGGTCATAGACGAATTTAAAGCCCAATAAATAAATTGCCGCCATAGCCTTATAAAACCCTGAAGAGAATGATGTTTGACATAACCCATTTTTAAAACAAGACAGAACAGTGCTCTTCAAACTTATCTGACTGTCCACCCTATTAACAATGTCTGTGCATGGGGCGCCTGGGTGGCTCAGTCGGTTGAGCATCCGACTTCAGCTCAGGTCATGATCTCACGGTCTGTGAGTTCGAGCCCCGCATCAGGGTCTGTGCTGACCGCTCAGAGCCTGGATCCTGCTTCAGATTCTGTGTCTCCCTCTCTCTCTGCCCCTCCCCTGCTCATGCTCTGTCTCTCTCTCTCTCTCTCTGTCAAAAATAAACATTAAAAAAAAAAAAACTTAAAAAAAAAACAATGTGCATACTCTCCTAGACCTGTGCACATGTATTTACTTATATACACACAACTGTCTAATACATACATATAAAACTAAATGTAAAGAAGATAAAGATAAAAAACAGTTTAAAATCATCTTTATTAGTACTTATTCTTTTATTAACAGTATAAAACACATTTATCTTTTAGGTGCTTAGTTTTTCATACTTTCCACTGAAAGAACATATTTAGAAATGTACATAAATCCTAGGTATGTAGCTAATTGAATGTTCACAAAGTAAACATATCTATTTAACAAGCACCTAAATTAAGAATTGTGTTATGGCAGTACTCCAAAGCTCCCATGTGACTCCTTCCAGCCACTACTGACTTGTACTGGTTTTGTTTTTAATTTCATGAAACAGAATCTTATGGTATGAATTCTTTTGTGTGTCTGCCTTATTTTGCTTAACATGTTTATAAGGCTGATCTGTTATTACATGCAGTAGTTCCTTTCACTGATACTGTATTCCATTCAAAGAATATACCGTAATTTAACAATCCATTCTATCAACAGACACTTGGGTTTCTAGTGTACGAGTGTTATGAATATGTTGCTTGGAACGTAACTGCACATCTCTTTTGGTAAATACGTACGTGTTTCTGGGTAGATCTAGAACTGGAATTACTGGGTCAGAGGGTATATGTCAATGACTGCAGCCAGACACTGGCAGTTTTTCAAAGTGGTTGACACCAATTTACGCTCCACCACAGGTAAGTAGGATGTTTAATACCTTGATACTTTTCATGGTTTCATAGTATCTTAAATTGAAATTTTATTTCAAGTTACATTTATTTTAAAATAGCATTCCTGAGAAGTTCAACTGTTATCAGCTGATTCTTATCAAACCTGATTATAGACTGTCACTGTTTTTACCTTCCCATATGGCTGATCAAAGGCAGAAGTGTCAGCCCTATTTTGTCCTCATTTGCTTGTACTTTTTTTTTTTAAATGTTTACTTTGATAGCGCATGAGTGGGGGGAGGGGCAGAGAGCGAGGGAGACAGAATCGGAAACAGGCTCCACGTTGCCAGCAGAAAGCCCGATGAGGGGCTCGCACCCACAAAATGTGAGATCGTGACCTGCGCTGAAGTCAGACGCTCAACTGATCCAGCCACTCAGGTGCCCCTGCTTGTACTTTCTTAATCTAGGTTTTTGAAGGAATTTTTAAAAATTGTGAAGGTGATTTTCATTAAAATTAAGCAATATAATGTGCAAATTAATTTAACCAGTCAAACATAATCTACTAAAATGAAATACAGGAGTGTAGGTGCCACTATGTGCCCCACCCCAGCTGTGACACCGTCACTCTTTCAGACACCTGCTTTGAGACTAAATGATAAATGACCATCTGGTAATAGGTCCAAATAAGGGCACCAGGGATCAACCTTAGATACATATTTTTAAATGTTAATTATTGAGAGAGAGCGCATGAGCCAGGGAGGGGCAGAGAGAGAAGGGGACAGAGGATCCTAAGCAGGCTCTGCGCTGACAGCAGTGAAATAACGAGTCTGACGTGGGGCTTAAACTCTCGAACCACAAGATCATGCCCTGAGCAGCAGTGTGATGCTCAACTGACTGAACCACCCAGGCGCCCCAGGTTGATCTTTCTATTAAACATTAGCACATCTTAATTTAATTCTTCTGTGAGTATTCTCTTCCCAAGGCCCACTTTGGGGTTCACTAGAGCAGTGATTCTTAATTTTTTTTTTTTTTTTTTGCATTTTTTGGAGCAGTGATTCTTCATGTGTTTTGAATCAGTAAGTTTCTTCTGATGAAAGCTATGGAGCTTCTCCACAGAAAAAACACAAGCAACATTTTGCACACAATTTCAGGGGATTTATCAATCCCTCAAATCTATCTAGTCTCAGATTAAAAATCCTCAGAATTCAGAGGGCCTGGCTGGTTTAGTTGGTGGAGCATGCAACTCTTAATCTCAGGGTTATGAGTTCGAGCCCCACATTGGGTGTGGAGATCATTAAGAAAAAAAATAGGCGTATCTTGGGGCACCTGAGTGGCTCAGTAGTTAAGCATCTGACCTCGGCTCAGGTCATGATCTCACAGTTTGTGAGTTGGAGTCCCACACTGGAGCCCCACTTCTCTCTTTCCCTCTCTCCCTCTGTCTGTCCTGGGATGCTCTCTTTCCCTGCCCCTCATTCATCTGTGTGCCACCACCCCCCCCAATAAAACAAAACAAAACCCTTAAAAAAATCCTTAGAATTCAAAATAATTTTCCCATTAGTAGGATGGGGAAGGTTATTAAGAGTTACAAATCTATTTCATTTATCTTGGTGTGCCTGGCTGGCTCAGTCGGTAGAGCACGCGACTCCTGATCTTGGGGTCATGAGTTCAAGTCCCACATTGGGTATAGAGTTCATTAAAAAAAAAAAGAATTTTATCTCTTTAACCAGCAATGAACAAAGTAGTTAAGCCTGCCTTTACTTTCTGGTGGGGAACTCAGATAACAACAAATAGATACCCAAAATATGACAACAAGCATGGTTAAATGTTATGAGGAAAATAATAAAGGATGGCAAGGGCAGAGACTGCTCACAGTGCCTCAATCTGCACGTGGGGGGGTGGTACAGGTCAGCACGCAGCCCACGAGCACCACAGCTATTCTACACGGGGAGACAGAGAGGAACTCCCCGAGGTGGTGACAAATGCAGACATCTCAATGAAACGAGGGCTTGAGGTTTGACTATTTGGAAAAAGGGGAACAGCAGGTAGAAGGGTCTTGAAGGGCAGACTGTGTGCTTGGCTTGCATGAGATAATAATAGGCCACCCTTGCAACAACTGAGTGACCAGAGCAAAAAAGGCCAGAAGAGGAGGGCCAAATCATAAACTAAGGCTGAATATAGCATTCAAGTTAATTCTTTGAGATATCGGCAAGACTGATATTAATAAAATTCTAGTGATGACTTGGCTAATAAAATGGTATCACAATGGGAATTTCACTGAAGTTAAAAACATTTACCAGTTTCATTAAAATACACATTTCTTTAAATTTCTCAAGGCAAATTCATTTCTCTTCTTTTGGAATTTCAGGGAATGACTTAATTTTTTTTTTAACGTTTATTTATTTTTGAGACAGAGAGAGACAGAGCATGAACGGGGGAGGGTCAGAGAGAGAGAGGGAGACACAGAATCTGAAACAGGCTCCAAGCTTTGAGCGGTCAGCACAGAGCCCGACACGGGGCTCGAACTCATGAATCGCGAGATCATGACCTGAGCCGAAGTCGGACGCTTAACCGACTGAGCCACCCAGGTGCCCCGGGAATGACTTAATTTTCACATTATTTTTCTCCCCCAATACCAAAGCCATTATTTCAGATACATTTTTACACAGGTAAGAAAGACCAAACCAAGCCACAATGTACCTTATCATAATACTGCATCCTGGGGGTGGATACAATCTCCCCATCCTCTGAGCGAATCAAGCGATCCAGGAATTCCTCTTTGCCCACTTCAGATGCTGCCTGGCGGAAGCATTGGAGAGCCTGGAGAAGTAAAAGGATACAAAATGACTTATAATGGACTGTTTCAATTCTAAGTGCTAACAATTAAGGTGGGTGGGTGTGGGTTCAGGTGCTAAAGGAAAGCCAAAAAAGAAAGACTGTTGACTACATTTACATTTTCTGCTATTCTAAATTCTGACACGTTATTTAAAGTTTGTTTTTTTTTTTTTAATGTTTATTCATTTTTGAGAGACAGAGCACAAGTTGGGAGGGGCAGAGAGAGAGGGAGACACAGAATCCAAAGTGGGCTCCAGACTCTGAGCTGTCAGCACAGAGCCTGACGCGGGGCTCAAACTCACGAACTGTGAGACTATGACCTGAGCCAAAGTCAGAAGCTCAACCGACCGAGCCACCCAGGCACCCCTCTGACACGTTATTTAATATTTTTCTTTATCTCACTTTTCAACTTAAATGCTATTAAAAGGTAAACTTTAATAAGAAAATTAATATAAGCATACTAATATGTTAATATTTGTAGAATTTGAGTGGTGAGTATATGATTGTTTATTATAAGTCTTTAAACTTTCCTGCATGTCTGAAAATGTACATTAATAGGATGTAAGGGAACAAATTAGATAAACTACCACAATGGGGGAAGAAAGCAGCATAACATTTAAAAAAATATGTAATAAAAACAAAGTAATCGAGTAATAAATTTCATTTACAAAATTTATCCCGGGGCAAAAGGATTTTAATGTTTTCTTCTTCATGTTTTCCTATGTTCTAACTAATTTGCAAAAGTACAAGAAAGCTGAACAACCCCCACATGGCTCTTGCTGGCATTAGTTGTCTTTATCCTTAGAGGATTCTGTGCCACCCCATCCCCCCTCACCTAGTTAGATGGAGACTAACTGTCCTCTTTGCACTGAAGTAGGTTCATCATTTGAATACAATTTACCTTCTGTCCTTCTCCTGTAACCAGGTAACAACGTCCCAGCATAAATCGACAGGAACCAATGTTGACTTGACACCAGGGATGGAGCAGTTGAATATAATCCTGAAAGGCATAAAAGGTGCTTTCTGATTAGAAAGTAAGTGCTATTTAATGCGATAACCACCCCCAAGCTCTTCACAGAGGGAGAAAAGATAGTGGTCAATCAACAGAAAAGTATTTCCTGAAATCATCCAGAAGTTAAAATCTAATTCTGTTAATCTATTCTTGTATTAAGTTATACACTTTAAAAACGTGAACAAAACTCAATAATACCAACACACATAAACACACATATGCTTTTCCAATTCAGCAATTTCCCAACTTTATTATTTACTGGTTCAATGACTAGATTCCTGTAAAGGATTTTTTTTTAAAGTTTATTTATCGGGGCACCTGGGTGCCTCAGTTGGTTCAGCATCGGACTCTTGTTTCAGCTCAGGTGATGATCTCCCGTTTCTGAAGTTCGAGCCCTGATTCTCTCTCTGTCCCTCCCACGCTTGTATGCACACACTCTGTAAAACTTAAAAACAAAAAACAAAACAAAAAAAACTAAAAAAAAAAAAAAATTATTTGTTTATTTTGAGAGCAAGTGCATGCGAGCAACAGAGGGGCAGACAGGGAAAGAAAAGCCCAAGCAGGCTCTGCACTGCCAGCATGGAGCCCGATTTGGGGCATGAACCTAGGAACCATGAGATCATGACCTGACCTGAAACCAAGAGTCAGACTGCCTAACTGAATGAGCTATCCAGGTGCCCATCCTGTAAAGGATTTATATAAAGACAACGTTATGTTTGTTTTACTATAAAGAGAACCTAATAGGGGGTACCTGGGTGTCTCAGTTGGTTAAGCGTCCAACTTCAGCTCAGATCTTGATCTCACAGTTTGTGGGTTCGAGCCCCATGTTGGGCTGTGTGCTGACAGCTCAAAGCCTGAAGCCTGCTTCAAATTCTGTGTCTCCCTCTCTCTCTGCCCCTCCCCGGCTTGCTCTCTCTCTCTCAAAAATAAATAAACATAAATTTTTTTTTTTTTTTTGAGAGCCTAATAGGATTAAAAAACAAGTCAAGATACTCTAGAAAAAAATGTTAGGAATGATATGTCAAGAGAGAAGTACATAAAGAAAATCTCTCTGGAGATTTTCTGGAGTATGTTTTGGTGAAGTCAAGTTTAAATTATTGTGGCTCTTTTTATCAGCCAATTAAAATGCAGGTAACATTTAAAATTCCAGAAATCCCATTCTTTAAAAGAACGACTAAACCAGAAATATTTGGGGCACCTGGGTGGTTCAGGAGGTTAAGCATCCAACTTCAGCCGAGGTCATGAACTCATGGCTCATGAGCTCCGTGTCGGGCTCTGTGCTGACAGCTAAGCCTGGAGCCTGTTTTGGATTCTGTGTCTCCTTCTCTCTTTCTCTGTTCCTCCCTCACTTGCACTCTGTCTCTATCTCTCTCAAAAATAAAGACTAAAACAAAAACCAAAACAAAACCAGAAGTATTCAACAGTACTCACCTGCAACTGTACATACTGACAATTGGCCATCAAACATTCCATAAAGAGACAACCAGGATTGCTAGGCCATCTAGTCACTGGATAAGGAGATTTTTTTTCTTTGGCAAAACTTTAAATCATATACATATTGGGCATCAAACACCATGTAATGACTTAATTTTTTAAAAAGAAGGTAAAGAGAAGGGGTTAGAGCACATGTTCTTTCCACATAACTATATAACCTTAATATAAGACAAATATAGTTTAAAGGCTATACACTAAAAGCCAGTTACCTAACTCAGACCTCAGTTAACTAGGGGCTAAAGCACGTATTTCATCCCTGGACGATCACTTCTAACTCTGGTGTATTGCACATACTCTTGATGCCCGTGGGACACCCAGCATCTACCACATAGTGCCTGATGTACAGAGCCATTCAATAAATACCTGATACACGTATAATGTTGTAAAAGAGATCTAAGTATTACATATTTGTGTACCAATAAAATCTGGCTAACTCCTGAGGAAAATAAAAACTAGGACATCTGATAGTAAATATTATTATTTCTTGTTGGGGGAATAGCACTCAACCTTATTAAAAAACTTCATTATACAGGGAGAATAGAAGAGTCTTCGACTATTTAGACAGAAAAAACCTTCTAACTGGCTTTTAAATAAAAGGATACAGAAGCTGCAATAAATAATTGGTAACTGCAGTAATCATCTCAGGCCAATTCAACCCAGTTTGGCTCAGAGGTGCCTTTGGTTGAGAGAAGAGATGGGCTATGATGTATTTTCTTGCAACTTCTTGGAAGAATAATTCCACAATTGTCTGAGGGCTAGATACTTGAAAAGAAAAAAATTATGACAATCACCAATTTATGACAGTAATATCAATTTTCAATTAAGATAGTCTACCAATTCATGTTATATCTGTAATAAAGAACATTTATTATTTCAAAACATGAAATGTACCATGGGTGTCATTAATGGCAATATAAATAAAAGCAGTTTGTAAAGTGTGCAGTACTATACAAATGCAAAAAAAAAGTCACTTAAATCAACATTGCACTCGTTTCTTTTTTTCACTGACCTCACTGCAGCTAAGCATCTTCCTTAGGAAGTGTTTACATTAAATATGGTCTCAAGATTCCACGTTTTTGTTTTTGTTTTTTAAAGTTTATTTATTTATAATCTCTACACCCAACATGGGGCTCGAACTCACAATCCTGAGATCAAGAGTCACATGCTCTACTGACTAAACCAGCCAGGTGCCCCAAGATTCCAAGTTTTTTACCAAAATAATATAAAACAAATTCTCCAGAATGGTTCTTCAGCATGAGAGATGACGCCTCTTGAATTTTTATTAAGACAAGATTATGAAAGCTACCATGAACTTAGTAAATTTAAAAAATAATTTTGTTGAATTAATCACTGGAGCATTAATAAGCAATGGAAAAGCAGCAATACACACGTACATATTTTCATATGCACAACACCCTTAATTAATGCCTGATTTGGGCTTCACGGGGTTTCATGGACTCCCTGTCACAGCCAGCTTATTAACCTCCCCAAATGAAAGCAGAGCTTACCTAATCTTTCTGCAGCAAAGGTGGCAAAGGACTTTAATGAATATGCAATAAAAGCCCAATTTAAAATCAAACGCATGCACAGACTAGTCCTTACCAAACTTATTTCCCGTTACAGCACCAGAGTCTGTTAGTTCCAGTACTGACAAGTGTTGGAGGTTGGACTCCCTGTGAGAACAAAGAGACAGTAGTTCTACAAAAACATTGCTTCAACAAGCTCTCCTACCAGGAACACTGTCAATTTGATTAGTAAGTTGCACATCAAAGTTCTACTGAAAGAACACTGCCAAACAGGATGGTTTATCTTATATTGAAAATGTAAATCTAGTAAGTAATAGATTTCCCTTTTTATTTTGGTTATAAAGGAAGCTCAGCCTACCTTTAATAACTGGTATGTTTTTGTGTGTGGTCCGACTTTCCCTGCGACCTCATCTAACTATTTTGCCCTCAGTAGGATTTATCTTTACGTTAAACACACACACATGTAATAACTGTACACCCCAAACTAATGTAACATTGTGTGTCAATTATACTTCGATTTTAAATAAGCATTAAAAAAGTGGGTGTTTGTGAAAAGTCACCTATCTCGACAGTTTTTAAGACAAATTTTTTTTTTTAAGACAAATTTTAGAAATGACATATATTTTCCACTTCCACTTCAGAATAAACATTTTTTCTTTTCAAAATGCTATACGTATAATAAATACATACTTGGTATTTTGATTCTTATAAGTTGTCTTCAACCTTTAGAAAATGAAGCATCTAAAGCTCTCTGAATTTTAAAGGCAAATCATGTTACTGCATTATGTTTACAATTTTTTGAAAATGATGAAAAAACTAATCAAACTTGCAATTTATTTTAAAAATAATTAGAATAATGAAACTCACAGTGTGTCAACTGGAACATCAGTTGCTAAGCACTGACTTCCCCACTTAATGAGATAATAACATAAGAGGAGAGGAGAGGTTCGGTGCAGTAGGTCTTGCTGGGCTTGAAAGAGCTGATCAGCTCCCAAGATCACCTATACATGATGGGTGGGTGGGTGAGACGGGACACAGTGATTAGTGATGATAACTCTTAAGGGTCAGGTGGAGGTAAAATAAATAACAAAACACAGTTACAAAGGGCATACAAAAAAAAAAGCAACATATGTACATAAATAAAGGCAACACACTCATTAAATTTTAGCATAGCAAAAATAGCTACCCAAATATTTAATAGTGCAAAAATGCTGATAGTGAAAGAGAAAACAACAAAAGTGTAACTTTCATTGAATGTGTGGGTTTAGAATTCAAGAACAGGAACAGGGATATCTAGCCTTTCTTTATGCTATTAGCCTTGGGTAAAGACAATTATGAACATTAGAGGAAAATTTGGCAAAACCACCCAAAGCCTTAAAAATGTGCATAGCCTGGGGTGCCTGGGTGACTCGGTCAGTGGATAAAAGGGTACGACTCTTGATTTTGGCTTAGGTCACGATCTCACGGTTTGTGAGATTGAGCTCCGCATCAGGCTCTGCATGGATGTGCAGTGTGGAGCCTGCTTGGGATTCTCTCTCTCCCTTTCTCTATGCCCCTCTGTTCCCTTTCTCTCGTGCTCTCTCTTAATATAAATAAATTAAAAAAAAAGGAAGGGGCATAGTGTGTGACCAATCAATTCTAGTTCTGAGAATTTATCTTAGAGATATAGTCAGAGGTGTACAAAAGTATTTAGGTAGGAGGGAAAAACTGGCAACAACCTGGCAGGCCACAGATGGGAATGGCTGAATAAATTAAAACTGTGTAGGGAACTTTAAAAAAATAATTTTGTAGAAGAATACTTAATGACATGTGAAAATGCAGATGAGGTGTGTAAAGTAGAAAACAATTAGATTCCAAAAATACCATGTAGCATATTCTAATTCTAGAAATAATGGAAACAAAACATTTGCATAGGAGAAAAAAGGATATACACTAAAATGTAAGTAAACAGCGGTTATCAGCTGGGTCAATTACAGAGGAATTTTAATTTCTTTTTGTTTAGAGAGGCTTACATATAAAGGTTCTATAAAGAACATCCATTACTTCTGTATTTAGAAAAAAACAATGGTTATAATTAAACAAAAAACCCCACTAAAAACCCTGAAGAAATGGAAGATTCTACAAAGATTGAGAAGAACTTAATAATGGCTGCCTTAAGTAATGGCCTCTCAGGAAAGGTTCCTGTTTCTCTTTGGTGGCTTAAACAAATCATCTTCCTAAATGTTTTTCCTTATTTTTACCCGAAATTCTACCATTATCAATATATTTGGGCTAATAAATTCTGGCTTAAAAAGTACAAACAGGGGGGCCGGGGTGGCTCAGTTGATTAAGTGTCCAACTCTTGGTTTAGGCTCAGGTCATGATCTCACAGTTTGTGAGACTGAGCTCTGAGTTGGGCTCCATGCCGACAGCGCGGAGCCTGCTTGGGATTCTCTCTCTCCCCCTCTCTCTGCCCCTCCCTCACTTGTGCTCTCTCTCAAAATAAATAAAACAACATTAAAAAAAAAAAAAAAGTATGACTAGTTCTGAGAGCCCCAAACACCTTTCAGTTATTTACATATTAACATGAGATAACTAGACTGCTTCCTCAGGTCAGGTTCGTGTGAGATGACCACCTGAGAGACAAGTGGGACTTTTGCATGAGGGTGGAAAGGCAATCTCCAAACATGGAACTTTCAGTAGGGTGAGAGACAAGGACTATCGGACAAGAGTCTGGTGGCCTAAGAAGACTAGGATGGAAAAGGAAGCACAGAATAGAGTTGGGAGGACCTCAAAGACACTGCCATCTCAAAAACGTGCTTAGGCTAAATTCTGTACTGCAGAAAGAGAATTCTTTTTCTTCTTTTTCCTCTTTTCTCCACACTAAATGGTACCTTGCTACCACATGCAGAGTAGTTAGTAACAATATTAAATTTGGGGAAAGCCATCTGGGGAAATTTCCCCACTGTTGTATATACAAAGGTTAATTATAAAATAATCTGCTTTATGTACTTAAAAACATTTTTTTTAACGTTTATTCATTTTTGAGACAGAGAGAGACAGAGCATGAGCAGGGGAGGGTCAGAGAGAGAGGGAGACACAGAATCCGAAGCAGGCTCCAGGCTCTGAGCTGTCAGCACGGAGCCTGATGCGAGGCTCGAACCCATGAACCGCGAGATCATGACCTGAGCCGAAGTCGGACGCTTAACTGACTGAGCCACCCAGGCACCCCTTTATGTACTTTTTAAAAAAAAGTTTGTTTGTTTATGTATGTATGTATGTATGTATGTATGTATTTACTTATTTATTTAAAGGTAATCTCTATACCCCAAATGGGATGGACTCGAACTGATGACCCCGAGGTCAAGAGTCACAGGCTCTTCTGACTGAACCATCCTGGCGCCCCACTTCATATACGTTCTTAATTTGTAATTTTAGATTATACTGTTTACTCATTCTTAATTCAACGAATATTTATAGAGCACCTACTACAGGTCAAACATAGGTGACAGAGCAGTGGACAAAGACAAAAGTCTGCGCTCATAGGGCTGACATTCTGCTCTGTGTGAGTAGATTTTACAAGTTTTCCTTCAAGCCATACTTACCGCATCGCCCAGCCTCAATAATAGGTGCTGTAAGATCAAAAGGTCTCGGCAGATGAGGAAGCGAGTGCTGGCAATTTTGCACACACCTCTGCACACAATATATCCTGCTGTGCTGCCACCATATAGCTGGGAAAGATTCATCCGAATATTCAAAGGCTGAGCTATGATTAAGAGGAAAAAAAAAGGAAAAGTTAGAAGAAGTTAAATTGCTTTCTCTAAATCAGAGACATGTTTGCTTTTTGTCATTTACCTGGATTGAACCCCTTTTCCATTTCTACTTCTGTCTCGTAATCCATCTCCCGTAGAAGTAGCCCAATGGCATGGACTGGGTTCTTGATCTCTTGTAGCTTACTGCAAATATCCTCCATCACATTTTCTCTAGAAGGACAATTAGAAAACCATTACTACTGAGAATAGGTAACGCAGACTGTTTATGTTCCGTAAACTAAATGCTCTATGAAACAGGAAGACCAGCTACACAATAAAGAAATGGAGATAATCACTCCGGCATATAAGATACCTTTACTTCATATAGAGAATTTTTCCTCATTTTTTCAGAAATGACAGAAAATGAATGTGAGAAAATACTTTTCTGTTTTAGAATTCATAGCTTAGTTAGTAGTTTAACTGACCATAACTTATGAGTTAGCTTCCAGATCTGAATTCATATGTTAGATTTTGCTTAAAAGGGGAAACACCTATTTAGAACTATGACAGCTCACTTTATCCATAAGCCACTATTGTCCGTACTTGAATGTACATTAAAAACCTGACACTGGCACTAAAAATTGCTGAATTTTCATTAGGAAATGCACTTTACCCTAAATTCTCCTTACACATCAATAGTGATCAAATCTTCCAGAATCTGTTCTGCAGCCTTTTCTGGAGACTGTAGGTTGTAACAACTCATTTCCATCATTACTGACATGTCCATAGTTACTGACTCTCCAATCAGCCGAAGGCATTTTATAAGACACATGACGTCCCGAGCAACTTCCACATCTGTAAGAGAAAGTTAATATTCACGACTCAAGCCAATGAAGAGCTACTGATTAACATTATACTAAAATAAAATATTAATAATTAAATGCCAAGAATCTATCTGAAGTCTTAGAGATGCTTAGGTCTCTTCAGTTTTCCTTATAGCATCTATATTGTGGTAAACTGACCAGGAGAGGTCATAGTGGCAATCAATGTTTTTTGCATCCAGTTGAAACAAAGCACAGGGTTCATGTAGGAAGGGGCTAAATATGGTCACAGTAATTATTATTACCATCAGATATGGCTGCCTCATCCTCGGCCAAAAGGTCGTCATCAGGATGGAGATACAAATGATCCACTAAGGAGGAAGGCACAAGGAAAGACAGGTACCCCTGGAAATATAAATCTTCCAGTTATACTTTTTTTCAATTAATGTTTATACGTGTAAAAAAAATTGAGACCAGATTCTTATCAGCAGAAAATACCAGACAAATCCAGGCTGAGGGACACTTTATAAAACAGGTATGGTCTTCCAAAAATATCAAGGTCATGAAAGACTAAGAAAGGTTGACAAAAGCCCTAGATTAAGCTAAATGAACATGACAACCAAACATATCCAAGATCTTGGATCAGACCCTAATCAAGAGGAAAAATTATGGGCACAATTGGTAGAATCAGAATGTAACTGTATGATACCATATCAATATCGAGTTACCTGATCTTTAAATTGTGCTGTGGTTACGTAAGGATACTCTGTTCTTAAGATACGTGGTAAAATATTTAAGGACAAAGGGGCATAATGTCTACAACTAACTCCCAAGTGGCCCAGGAAGAAAAAAACGTATAGAAGGAAGGAAAGTAAATGGCAGTTAACAAACGATGAATCTGGAAGAAGGGTATACAAAAGTTCTTTGTGCTATTCCTGTAGCTCTTTAAATGTGAAATCAATATATAATAAGATAAAGAAAATAAAATGCAAGAAAATTATAAATAATGCAGGAGACTATCTAAATACAAATGAACTAGAATTCTAAGAAAAAAAATACAAAGTCCTTAAAAGCTAACTACAACATACAACAGACTGATACTCTGAAAGATCCACTGAATCGTCTAAAGGATTAGACGATTAAGGATTAGCTTTAGCTCCCTTACTTTTTTCAGTAGGCACACCATGTTTGTGTGTGGATTCAAATGCAGGGCAAGAGGATGAGAGAGGGCTTCTTGGTACTGAAGACAACAGGCATAGAACTTGCACCAGAATTCCTGTTGTAAATTTCGAAATTCCTCCTGGGAAAATTCATACTCTGTTACACTTCCTTGGAGCTGGCAAAGAAGAAGACAAAAAAGAAACTGTTAATACCATTTGGGATCTTTCTCCTCCAAAACCTAACTGCCTAATATCATTTTACTAAATTATAACCAAATGAATATCCCTTAGGCCTTACATGCCATAGATTTTATATATATATATATATATATATATATATATATATATATATATACACACATATACATACACATACACATATATATATATAATTCTCTAATTAAAAGGTTTAAATATTTATACTTCCTACTAACAAGGTGCAGTGAACTATTTGAACAATTCCCCAGTACCAATCTACCCTATATCAAGAAATTATCATTTGTTCTCTACCCAAACCTCACCTCACTTTCAACAGCTAAAGTGACTTCTTTCTTCAGTTCACTCCAGGAAAGATCTAAATTCCTCTCAGTTCCTCGACAGAAAATCTAAAATTAAGAGAGACATTTTAGAGTATTATATATCATCCAAAACTGAATGAAAAAAACTTCAGTTTAGAAGGCACGGAGGCAATACGTAACTATACAATAGAAACTGAACATGCCTAAAATACCCATCTACTTCTAATGCTATGCAAATAATTTCTATAAGTAAAATCATAGCAAGTTTAAAATCATTTCTTTTTAAAAAATTATTTGAAGAATATTTATTTATTTTTGAGAGACAGAGAGAGATAGAGCATGAGGGGATAGGGGCAGAGAGAGAGAGGGAGACAAGGAGTCCAAAGTAGGCTCCAGGCTCTGAGGTGTCAGCACAGAGCCCAATGTGGGGCTCGAACCCACGAACTGTGAGATCGTGACCTGAGCTGAAGTCAGATGCTTAACCAACTGAGCCACCCAGGCACCTCTGAAATCATTTCTATAGACCAGAACGAACTATAGATATCCATGAATCTGACAGAATTATATAACAGGATACATTTGGATTACTAAAAAAAGCAAAAAGCCCTGGAAAGGCCATTGCTTAGCTGGAGGGAAGTTATAAAATGATGTTAAACACATACTCCCTGAGACTGGTATAAAAGCAAGCCAGAGTAGTCATGTGGCTGGCCACTCTACTACGAATGACTCTCCTAAAGGAAAGCATTTAATAAATGTCTTTAGTGATTGTTTAATATCTCCGTGTGCAGGAGATACCATAAGAAATACACACATTGGGGCGCCTGGGTGGCGCAGTCGGTTAAGCGTCCGACTTCAGCCAGGTCGCGATCTCGCGGTCCGGGAGTTCGAGCCCCGCGTCAGGCTCTGGGCTGATGGCTCAGAGCCTGGAGCCTGTTTCCGATTCTGTGTCTCCCTCTCTCTCTGCCCCTCCCCCGTTCATGCTCTATCTCTCTCTGTTCCAAAAATAAATAAACGTTGAAAAAAAAAATTAAAAAAAAAAAAAGAAATACACACTTAATTGTTGTTAACAAGGAAGAAGGCTGATGAGAGGAAAAGAAAAAACATCTTGGGGGCACCTGGATGGCTCAGTCAGTTAAGCGTTTGACTGTTGACTTTGGCTCAAGTTATGATTTCACGGTTTGTGAGTTCCAGCCCTATGTTGGACTCTGTGCTGACAGCATGGAGCCTGCTTGGGATTCTCTCTCTGCCCCTCCTCTGCTGGAGTGCTCTCTCTCTAAATAAACTTTATCATTATTTTTAAATGTTTATTCATTTTTGTGAGAGAGAGTGCGTGCACATGCAGGGGAGGGGTAAAGAGAGAGGGAAAGAGCAGATCCGAAGCAGGCTCTGTGCAGAGAGCAGTGAGCCCAAAGTGGAGCTAGAACTCACGAACTATAAGATCACGACCTGAGCCGAAGTCGACACTTGACCGACTGAGCCACCCTGGCGCCCCGATAAACCAATAAACTTAAGCAAACAAACGAACCATCTTGGAGAGAGTGATCATGTCACACTGAAGTTCTATCAGAGAGAAAACAGAAAACATGTAATAGCCAGATATTTAAGAATGTATGTAACGGAAAGGTCAAGGGTCTATAAATGGTATCACCTGAGAGAAAGTTAAGGCACTGCGTGTACTTGGAGAAAGACAATACGGAAAGATTCTTGAAATATTTGAAAAGTTGCTTTCTAGAAGAGAAACATGTTCTATGAAGTTCCAAAAGAAAGAATTCACCAAAAGCATGGGGACTAAATTTGATCCAAATGGGAAGAAGTTTTAAATTATACAGCTCAGGAACAAGAACTCCACAAGAGCCAGTGAGAAACTTGTCACTGGAGGCAGAGACAATTAGAAGCTGAAAAGCTGTCTGTTAAAAGCCTCAGAAGGTGTTTCTTTGTGTGGAGGGTCAGGTTAGGAGATTCTAAGGGGTCTTTCAAGTCTATGAGTGATTATCATATTTAATTAATTTATTTTTAAAAGTTTCCTTAAATGTTTATTTTTGAGACAGAGAGCACATGAGCTGGGGAGGGGCAGAGAGAGAGAGAGAGAGAGAGAGAGAGAGAGAGAGAGAGAGGGAGGGAGGGAGGGAGAGAGAGGGAGACAGAGGATCTGAAGTGGGCTCTGCACTGACAGTGGAGAGCCCGAGGTGGGGCCCAAATTCATGGCCTAAGCCAAAGTCAGGTGCTTAACTGACTGAGCCACTTAGGAACCCCTATTTATTTTTGAGAGAGAGAGAAAGAATGCGCATGTGTGGGCACCAAGGGACAGAGAGGGAGGGAAAGAATCCCAAGCAGGTTCCTTGCTGTCAGCACATAGCCCGACTCGGGGCTCAATCCCATGAACCACGAGATCATGACTTGAGCCAAAACCAAGAATTGGACACTTAACCTACTGAGCCACCCAGGCACCCCAAGATTTTGTTTTTAAGTAATTTCCACACCCAATATGGGGCTCGAACTCACAATCCTGAGATAAAGAGTTGCAGGCTCTACTGACTCAGGTGCCCCACGATTCTATTTCAAATCCACGAACTAACTGGCAATTTAAGGAAGCCTAAGTGACTTTATTTTTTTTTAATTAAAAAAAATTTTTTTAAATGTTTATTTATTATTTTGAGAGAGAGAGAGACAGAGAGAGACAGACAGACACATGGAGTGTGAGCAGGGGAGGGGCAGAGAGAGGGGGAGACACAGAATCCAAAGCAGGCTCTAGGCTCTGAGCTGTCAGCACAGAGCCTGACATGGGGCTCGGACTCCCAGACAGCGAGATCATGACCTGAGCCAAAGTCAGATGCTGAACCAACTGAGCCACCCAGGCGCCCCTTTAATTTTGTTTTTAAAGTTTATTTATTTTGAGAGAGAGAGAGAGGGTGTGCAAGCAGGGGAGGGGTAGGGGGGGAGAAAATCCAAAGCACTGTTAGCTTGGAGCCCAATGCAGGGCTCGAACTCACAATCTGTGAGATCATGACCTGAGCCGAAAACGAAGAGTCAGATGTTTAACTGACTGAGCCACCCAGGTGCCCCTCTAAGTGACTTTAAGGTAAAGAATCTTTTTATAAAGCATTAAGTATCTCTTAAGCCATGTGACTTTGAAGATTCAATTTTCAGATTTTTCTTGAATCTGAACATGTCAGACCTCCATTGTATTAACAAAAAGGTAAACGTAGAGTACTATCAAAACTAACGAAGAAAACATTTTAAATTTCTTTCAAGTACAGAGATTATATGCAGTATAGTATGGGATCTTTTTACAATAGTGTAAGCACACATTTCTCTTTCAACTACTAGTATGCTTCAGTAGTCATTGGGAAAGTACCCACAATTCTACCTTCCTGTTGGGAGTCTTATTTAGTGGAAAAAAACATAAAAAAAAATTACACTGACATTTATAAACACATGCATATGTAACTGCAAAAATGTTTGTTTTGTGTATATAAAACAAAAGTTAATATTAATTATTAATTATACAATGACTATACAAGAGACAGTCTTAAATAAACATTAAATCTTTTCTTGCTGACCTGTAAAGCTTTACATAAAGCTGCATTTATGAATCGTCCTGGTGTAAATAGAGTCTGCAAATACATCTCCTGTTAGAACAGTAAAACAAAAATTAGTATCATCCTAAATAGGTAAAATTTGGAAAAATTTGAAGGAAGAATTAATCACATTAGCGCCAACACTTGAGTTTCCATTATAAAAACATGGCCCTTCTGTATTTGAGCAATACCAAGTACTAGAGCAGTTCTATATTTTCACATTAAGGAAGAGACTACAGTGTGTTTGAGCCAACTAGGCATACTATAAGGAAATCAGCGTGTTCCTCATGGAGTACTTTACTGGGTTCCACTGGAAAACATAGCATGTGAAATGCCAACCTTATATGGAAAGGCGAACACAGGTTTATTTGTGATACACACTGGTAAGAGAACAATTAAGCTAAACTGGTTTCTCCACCATCCATAAAGTAATCATCTTATGTCTCACATATAAAAGGAACCAATAGGCATTACATGTAAAAACAAACAAAACATGCAATAAACTGTCACTACTTGGAAGATGAAGTAGAGAGAAGAAAAACGGAAAGTCTTAAGTTGCCCAAATATTTTACCCAAATTTCACAATTCACATTTGCCAGGAAGTAGCAAATCTGACTAATCTTCACTCAAGTTTCCTTCCTTCTCCTGGGGTTCTGGGGGGTGACCCAGGGCCCATAATCTTCAACCTCATTTAACATAAAGGCATCAACTGATGCCTTTTTCTCTTCTTCTTAACCTGAGGATATCTCTGAAAAATAGGGAGACTGGCCTGTTTTGCTCTCTATGGAATTATCATCTTTTTAAAAAGAGATTTCATGCCCAGTGTGGAGCCCAATGCGGGGCTTGAACTCATGACCCTGAGATCAAGACCAAGGATGAGATCAAGTGTTGGGACTCTCAACCCACTGAGCCATGCAGGCACCCCAATTGCATTTTAAAGTTATTTTCCTCATAGCATATACTGTTAGCAGAATTTATTTGATTTCTAGCTTCTATGCATGTACCAACATGGTTATAAACACTAGTGGACACCTAGTGTTTATGCCTACCCAGGATCCATTACCCTTCTTTTACTAACAAATCCCTACCTTCCTCTGGGGGAACCATTCCTCCTCTACCCATATTCCCCATACTCAACTAACTTCACCACCTCTACAAGAACAAGGTGCACGTTGGACATGTTTCTCATGCTAAGGCAGATTATTCTATTCTTTCTGATCAGAGTGACTGTGTCAGAAATCAGCACACTGCTCAAGCCAGGCCAATGAGAGTCTACTTCAGGACCAGGGACAGTGGTTCTCCCTCTCCTCTGGGGTCCATAGAACGCGTAGTTCACACAATGCATAGGCTCAGGGAGCCTGCCTGAGAATAAACCCAACAAGAAGGAAAACAAAATACAAAGGAGAAATCAAGCCCTGAAGGCATTGTGGCACTGTTCCAGCCTTGGGTGAAGCCAGGTAACTCTCCGCTTCTCAGCTGCACAAATATTTTCCTTTTAAGCTTAAGTCAGTTTGAGGTGGGTTTCTTTCACGTGCAGCTGAAAGAATTCGGACTAATACACCTGGTTCTTCTCAAACTAATGATCAGGGTAAATCATCCTCTTACATAAGACTTTAATGTTGCTTACTCTGGGGTCTTGATCATCTCTGATAATGATCTCTTCCTCTGGCAGAGAGTGCATAAAAACTGAATTCCATTGACCTGCAACATTACTATAGGGAAACAAAAAAGGCCATCAGTCTACATAAAAATGATGACTAAAAGCTGATGCTGTTGATCTACTGAAGATTTCAAAATAAATGAGTAAAATTTATTGTCAACAGTCTGGCTTTATAGAAGTGCTCTTACCAGTTTTTTTTTTTTTTAATGTTATTTTAATGTTTATTTTTGAGAGAGAGAGAGACACAGAGAGCACGAGCGGGGGAGGAGCAGAGAGAGAGGGAGACACAGAATCTGAAACAGGCTCCAGGCTCTGAGCGGTCAGCACAGAGCCCGACGCGGGGCTCGAACTCACAAACCGTGAGATCATGACCTGAGCCGAAGCTGGACGCTCAACCGACTGAGCCACCCAGAAGCCCCTTAATTTTTTTTTTTTAATGTTTATTTTTGAGAGAATGTTATTTTAAAGTAATCTTTACACCTAACATGGGACTTGAACCTACAACCCCAAGATCAAGAGTCCCACGCTCCACTATGCCGGCCAAGTGTGCCCTTGCTCTTACCAGTTTTAACAGGCATCTTCCTGAAATGAACACTCTAACCACAAATCTACAAACAATAGCTAACTTTTATTTTGCATTTACTATTATTAGATATTATGCTAGGCACAGTTAAGGATATTATTCTTATAAGCCTTATGGTAATTTTGAAGGACGTATCACCCACATTTTGTAGATGGGAAAAGTAAGGCTTTGTCACAGCTAAATTTCACAAGTGGACTCATACTCTTATCTGATACGATTCTTTGCTTATTACCACTTTGTTTGAATGCCATCTATAAGGAGTACGCTCATATTATCTGAGATGTGGCTCAACCATCTGGGGCAACTATCCCTATAGTTCTAGTCTAGAGTACAGGACTGATTATGAGGGATCCCTAAAGTTCAATTAGTTTAGTTCCAAAGACATTAAGCTATATTCCAGGGAATCCTGCACAGGGTGTTTCAGGAGTATATAAGTATCTGATTAAGAAATTTTTTTCAAATGTGTTTTGTAGCTATTAAAACATTTAAAACTATTATGTACATTAAAATATTAGAGACCAAATATATCTAATATTAGAGATAACCAACAATAACATTAAATTGTGTTATAATTTTATTCTCACAAAATACTAGTTTTATATATTGGAGTTCATTATCTTTTGAAAAAAAGGGTTTCCTGTTTAAAACAAAAAAGTTTGAAGAGCACTATACTTGTGCAATCAATTTCTCTTATGATGAGAAAATTGAGAACCCTAAGGGGCTGCAGTATCTTTTGGAAGTTGTGGGTATTGGAAATAGTCTGCTCAGAAGCAGAGTAAACTCCCAAATTAGAAGTATTTTAGATAGGTGCTATTGCTCCCAAGAAATAGGGTATTTCATCTCATTCCAACCCTAAGAATCCTTCATTTTGTTCTAAAACCAAAAGGTAGGAAACATCACAAAATGTAAAAGGAGGAATTTTGGAAAATAGTTAACAGTAGGCAAACCCAGGACTGAATCCTTTAAATGCAAACACTTGACTTCGGTTCTACATAACAAGCTCTCTTGCTTTCTTAGAATGGAGCCCCTAGGGGTGAGGCAAGACGACAGAGGAAGTGATCCATACTGCTCAAAGGTGATGTATCTCACAACAGTTTGGTTCTCAGCATCATGCCACAGGGCCCAGATATCCGTAGAGGTTAAGGCAAAGTCAATCAGTGTCTCCTAGGAGGAAATGTGGGGGAAAGGGGTTAAAATATGAAAGAGGAATAGCTTACAGCAACTTAAATTTGTATTAATAGGAGGTCAAAAGCATAAAAACAGAAGATAGTACCACACGAACTTGGTAAAACTCAAATGAAATTTGGTCTGCATCTATCAGTAAATATTTCATTTTAAGATTTCCGTCCCTTTACAACATAGTTAAGTCAGCCAATTCTTTCTTATACTTGAGTGATATGCAAAGGATGATCCAACCTACCTGAGAAGTGAAAACGGACGAAATGTGATCTAGACTATAGCGGTTATTCTCAGTGCTCACCAGTTGGAAAATGCAGAACTGTCAAAACACAAGTTAATAATTCATAACTTGAAAAAAACCAACGTGCTACTTTTCTAACAGTTATGAGCATTCAGAAACCAATTATTTTTTTAATTAAAAAAATTTTTTTACATTTGTTTATTTTTGAGAGACAGAGAGAGAGAGCAGAAGTGGGGGAGTGGCAGAAAAAGAGGGAGACACAGAATCCGAAGCAGGCTCCAGGCTCTGAGCCATCAGCAAAGAGCCTGATGCAGGGCTCGAACTTGCGAACCGTGAGATCATGACCTGAGCTGAAGTCGGACGCTCGACTGACTGAGCCACCCAGGCGCCCCAATTAAAAAAATGTTTTAAGTAGGCTCCATGCCCTGCATGGCAAGAGCTCCATGCAGGGCTTGAACTCATAACCTTGAGATCAAGACCTGAGCCGAGGGGCGCCTGGGTAGCTCAGCAGGTTGAGTGTCTGGCTTTGGTTCAGGCCATGATCTCATAGTTCATGGGTTCGAGCCCAGAGTCTGGAGCCTGCTTCAGATTTTGTGGCTCCCTGTCTCTTTGCCCCTCCCCTGCTCGTGCTTTGTCTCTCTCTCTCTCTCTCTCTCTCACTCTAAAAAAAAAAAATTAAAAAAAAAAAAAAAAAAAGACCTGAGCCAAGATTAGGAATCAGATGTTGGATACTTAACCGAGTGAACCACCCAGGTGCCCCTAGAAACCAATTTTTATAAAGGTGTGGTAAAATACACATAACATTTGTCATTGTAACCCCCCCCTTATTTTATTTTTTTACCATCTTAACCATTTTTAAGAGCACAGTTCAGTAGTATTAAATACATTCACATTATTGTGCAACCTATATCCAGATCTTTTCTCATCTTGTAAAACTGAAATTATACTCATTAAATAGCTCCACACTCCTTTCTCCCTCCAGACCCTTCCACCCACCATTCCACTTTCTGTCGCTATGAACTTGACTGCTCTAGGCACTTTATATAAGTAGAATATTAACAGTATTTTCTTTTTGTGACTTCACCTGGCATAACATCCTCAAGGTTTATCCATGTTGTAGCATGTGTCAGAATTTCCTTCCTTGAGGCTGAATAATATCCCATTTTATGTATATACCTTTTTTGTTTATTCATTCATCTGTCAAGGAACACTTGGGCTGCTTCTACCTTTTGGCTACTGTAGATAGTATGATGACTATGGGCGTACAAATTTTTTTTTTTTTTTTGGACTGTCTACAAGAAAACACTATCTTTTAAATAAGAAAGCACATGCACATGTGAGCACAAGCAGGGGAGGAACAGAGGGAGAGAGAGAGAGAATTATAAGTGTGGAGCACAATGTGGGGCTCAATCTCATGACCAATCATGAGATCATGACCTATGCTGAAATCAAGAGTCGGCGCTTAAACGACTAAGCCACCCAGGTGTCCCCAAATGTCTTTGAGACCTTGCTTTGAATCCTTTGGGGTATATACCCAGAAGTGGAATGGCTGGATCATAGATAGGGTAATGCTACAATTAGCTTTTTAACGAACTGCCATACTGTTTCCCACAGTGGCTGCAACATTTTACTTTCCATCACCAGTGCACAAGGGTTCCAATTTCTCCATATCCTTGTCAACACTGCTATTTTCTGTTTTTTGGGGGAGGATAATAGCCATCCCACGGGTGTGAGGTGGTATCTCATTGTGGTCAGAAGCCTGTTTTAAGTTTATATTTTTACCAAAGTGCCAGAGATAATTTAAAACATATGCACAATACAAATCAACACTAGTTAACTTTTACTAAAAACAAAACTCTATAAAATAATTCAAGTGTAGTATTTAACTCTATTGCCAAAACAAAAAATTTCAAACTCAAAAATGATACTTTATGGATATTTTAAGTAATTTTTTTGGAAAAAGAAAATTCACTGTAAACTGGTAAGAGTGACAATGGTTCTCTCTTTATAACACAGAAGTTACTAAAGGGTAGTACTAAAAGAAAAATATACAGGGGCGCCTGGGGGGCTCAGTCGGTTGAGCGTCCGACTTCGGCTCAGGTCATGATCTCAGTCTGTGAGTTTGAGTCCTGCATCGGGCTCTGTGCTGACAGCTCAGAGCCTGGAGCCTGTTTCAGATTCTGTGTCTCCCTCTCTCTCTGACCCTCCCCTGTTCATGCTCTGTCTCTCTGTCTCAAAAATAAATAAACGTTAATAAAAAAAAAATTAAAAAAAAAAAAAGAAAAATATACAGAGAGTCCCTTCTGAGAAAAAGTAGGAGTGTATGAAATACAAAAGATATATGCAGTGTTCATATTCATCCTAGTCTAGAGCTGTATTTTACAAGTTGCAGATCTCAACCTGTTAGTGGAATATAAATCAATTTAGCAGGTCTCAACCAGCATTCACACAAGAACAACAAGAACAACAACAAAGTATCAAAGTTCATCAGTTCATCACTCATAGTAAAGGTAAACATGTTTCATATATATTTTTTTTGTTACATGTCCATCACCACAATATGTGTATAGTAGATAGAAAAACAAGGTATTTCTTGTTGGAAAAATGCTGGCCAAGCATATAGTGCTTCTCAAATTACCTGTGGTAAAGGGCTAGTTTTTTTTTATTTAATTTCCAACCTGTTGCAGATTGATACTTTATTTATAACATACAGGAATCTTGAATGTGGACGTCTGTAGCAATGTCAAACCACTATAAAAGTATCTGAAAGTTCACTCTCATGTTCTGTAGCTATCTTACTGCAAACTGGTAAACAAGAATTTGTGGCCCAGGACCAGTCTGTGGACCACACACCACAGTCTACAGGACTTCTGTTTGAGAGTTGTATTAAGGTCTTAGATGGAATACAGATGGCAGCTTGTATGATCAATGAGAACAAGATCCTGGAAATAACCGAAGTAATACACTTACTAAAGAATTAGAATCCAAAGAACCAAAGGAAACACCAGAAACAAATGAATAGGAATGGATATAAATATTAGAGACAAAGGAAAAATAAATTTCAACTGTGCCTATTAGAGGAAAATACAGGCTGAAGAGCAGGATTTGTGTAGGGGGAAAAAGTCTACAAGTTCACCATAACATGAGTAGGTCTAACTGGCAAAAAGGTTTATCTGATTTTAGGCTTCATTAATAGAACCATAATGCTCAAAACAAAGGAGATAACAGCTCTGCTCAATTTCACACCACTCCTACACTCAATTTTGAGTCTTTTAGAGGAGTGCTTCTCAAAATGTAGACCATAGACTGTTTCAGGGGATCAGTGAGGCCGAAACTCTTTTCATAAGAATACATTATCTGCAATATCTGTGTTGATATTTTTGCATTGATGATGCACAAGCCTAAATAAGAGGGTAAAATTACTGGTGCCTTATAATGAATCAAGGCAATGGCAGCAAACTGAACACCCTTGCATGAGAAAAACACTCAGTACTAGGAATAGAAAGGAACTTCCTCAACATGATAAAAGGCATTTATGAAAAATTCACAGCTAATGTCATACTCAGTGGTGAAACACTGAAAGCTTTCTCCCTTCAACCAGGAACAAGACAAAGATGCCAGCTCTTCCCACTTCTATTCAATATTGTACTGGAAGATCTATCCAGGGCAATTAAAAAAAAAAAAAAAACAAGGCATTCAGTTGATTCAATTGGAAAGGAAGTAATATAACTATCTTTATTTGCAGATGAGGTTATCTTGTATACAGGAAGTTCTAAGGACTCCACTATAACCCTATTAGGACTAATAAAATAATTCAGCAGGGTTGCATGATACAAGACCAATGATACAAAAATCAACTGTATTTCTATAAACATTCACTGAGTAATCTCAAAATAAAATTAAGAAAATAATTTCATTTCAATAATTTCATTTCCACTAGCATTAAAACGAATAAATACCCAGGAATAAACTGGTCAAAAGAACTGCAAAACTTCTACTCTGAAAACTATAAAACATTGTAAAAAGAAATTAAAGATGTAAATATATGGGAAAACATTCCATGTTTATGGACCAAAAGACTTAATATTGCAAAGATGGCAATATTTTCCAGCATCATCTACAGAACCAACATAATCTCTATCAGAATCTATCAAATAATAATAATAAACATATTTTGGTCTCTGCAACTGGGTGCTGGCACTAAGCTAAAACCCTTGTAATTTCCTGAATGATGAAGATGATAGGAGCATCTTATACAGAGCTCTAGAATCCCTTGGAATTTCCTAGGTGATAAATGCCTTTTATTTTTTCAAGTAGGCTCTACAACCAGCATGGGGATCGAACTCACCCTGAGATCAAGAGTCTCTACTTACTCGTGCTCTACTTACTGAGCCAGCCAGGCGCCCCAGAAACACCTTTTGTTCTAATGAGATGACTCCTAGATAGCTTCAAGGATTAGGGCTGGTCACCAGAAAGACCAAGCCATGATTAGAAGCTTAAACTTTCAGCCCCAACCCCCATTCTCTGGGGTGGGGAGAGGCTGGAAATCTAGTAATAATGGATTATGCCTACATCATGATGCCTCCATAAAAATCCCTAAAATAAAAATCCCTAAAGTATGGTATAAGGAGAGCTTCCAGATTGGTGAACACATCCATGTGCCAGGAGGGTGGCAAACTCCTACACCACAGGGCAGAGGCCTCTGAACTCAGGATCCTTCTGGACCTCACCCAACATACCTCTTCATCTAGTTGTTCATCTGTATCCTTTGTCATATAGTAAACTGGCAAATGTAAGTTACTGTTTCCCGGAGTTCTGTGGACTACTGGAGGAAACTGAGACCGAGGTCAGGGTCATAGGATGGATGAATCAAGAGCCCAAGGAGGTAAAAAGAGTATCCACATTTGGCTTAGAGTGTAGGTGCATGAGCAGAGTGTGAAGGCTTCCACACATATGGAAGGCCTGGTATAGGGTGGAAGCTCAAGCAGAACAAGGAGGGTGTTCACATAGAGTAGCAGTCTGTATTGGTGATTAAAGCCCAAGCAGGGAAGGAGGGTGACCACTGAATAGGAGTGGCAGAGTATCAGCTCAAAAGGCATGAACAAGGCATCCATATGGAGGGGCAACCTGTAGTTGGGCATCAGAGCCCAACAAGGGTGAAGAGGCACCCGGATGGGCACCTCCAGCACAGTGAGGACAGACCCTACCTCAGTGAAACGTTATCCGGATTAAATGGATAACATGCATAAAGCGTGTGAGCCCAGAGTAAGCACTGTCCAAGTATTTGCTATTAATGTACATAAGGGGCCCGGCATCATGGCAAACCCAGAATATCCAACGAATGGTTGTTTATTACAGGATTACCATTATATGACATCCTAAATACCTCATCTACATACAACAGCTAGTGTTTGGAAGACGAGCAAAATTATTTCTAAAAATTAACTTCCCTCCAACCACTTAGTAACACCTGCATCCCTTTCATAACTCCATTTTTTCACCCAGATATCCAAACTGGCTCTTTCTTTTTTTTTTTTTTTTTAATTTTTTTTTTTCAATGTTTATTTATTTTTGGGATAGAGAGAGACAGAGCATGAACGGGGGAGGGGCAGAGAGAGAGGGAGACACAGAATTGGAAACAGGCTCCAGGCTCTGAGCCATCAGCCCAGAGCCTGACGCGGGGCTCGAACTCACGGACTGCGAGATCGTGACCTGGCTGAAGTCGGACGCTTAACCGACTGTGCCACCCAGGCGCCCCAAAACTGGCTCTTTCTTATTTAGCTTTGGTTAACTTTTCCTTTCACGTTCCTTTGAACTCTCTACTCCCTTTCACCACGACTTCACGATTTTTTTGATTCACACGTTAGCACAAAACCCATCATCTCCACAGAAACAACACATGAAACACCTAGGTTGGTGGGAAGAGCTTAAATAGACTCAAATGTATCTCCCGCTACTTGCCCACATCAGTACATACAGTGTAGCTTGATACAGGTCTTATTTGTTTCATACCTGTCCGCGTTTTGGTGAATGCATGAACAGCCCTAGGTAGAGTCCCATGGAAGGGGAATAAGCAAGCCGTAACTTATGTCCAGTTCCAATACTGAGCTGAAAGTCTTTACTCACAGGAACATACTCCAGCATGTCGGCCACCATCAGGCACATTTGGTCCTGCTCAAGATAAGCCAACAAGTAGTATCCAAGAATATCCAAGTCAGGAAAAACAAACTTCTTCCCCTTTGAAAGGATGTGCACTCATCACAGCTAGCACTCCTCTTTTATCTGCTAAGGGACACTAAAGATTTTTTTTTAAAGTCTGAGATGAAAATGTCTCTTAAGTCTGATAAATAAGATCATCTAACTGTTTTGCTTATGAATCCTGAAAACTGTTTTATCAACTTGCATTTACAAAACACATTCATTCCTCTTAAGTGAACATTATTCTCTGCACTATCTTAATTCTGTAGGATTCATAATTTAAAAATATATAAAAAGGGGAGAAATGTATGAAAAAGCTAAATGAAACTGTCTGAATGTAGAAATGGCCTGCAATTTCCAAACTTCAGTGATCTTAATAATCTTTGACAGAAACAGCAAGATTGACTTCAATTGTCTTACAATTCGCAATGCTATTTTAACTTAAGTAACTATAAATGTAGCATTTACCTTATAAGACCACATTCGTAGTTTATGATCCTGGCAAAGAGCAAAGATGAAGGCATCGTGCTCGACACAATGAACGGCAAGAGCAAGGGGACGATCTGAAGGCCCCTGGTCACCTCTAAAAACATAAAGCCCAATTTTAGGCTCGTAGTGTTCTAACTATCAGGTTATTAGAACTTGTTTTTAAAAACTTTTTTAACATTTATTTATTATGAGCATGAGCAGAGGAGGGGCCGAGAGATGGAGAGACACAGAATCCAAAGCAGGCTGCAGGCTTTGAGCTGTCAGCATAGAGCCCGACGCAGAGCTCGAACACACAAACCGCGAGATCATGACCTGAGCCGAAGTCGGATGCTTAACCGACTGAGCCACCCAGGCACCCCAAGATTATTAGAACTTGTAATTAAACAGATAAAAGAAAGTTATAAATGTACCATTTTGTTTAAGATTTTAAGTATTTCCTACATCCAACATGGGGCATGAACTCGCAACCCCAAGATCAAGAATTGCATGATCTACCGATTAAGCCAGCCAGGTGCCCCTATAAATGTACACTCTTAGTCAACACAAGGAACCAAGAGTTTACATGCTGGTATCAGAGAACTATATTTTCTACTTGGTCTATAACCAATCACTATGATATACTTTAAAGGGCTCTACATAAGAAAGGAATAGAGTTTTAATCATCAGAAACTTCCTACTTCTAATTTTACACAAAATTAGTGAGTCAGGGCAGAGCACTGAGTTGAATATCATGAGAAAATATAGAAAAAATCAGTTTCTGCTATCAAGATGTCTGAGGTGTGGCTCTCCTCAGATGGACTGTGATATTTTGCAGACTCTTCTCCTTTCCAGTATAATGCTTATCTGCCTTAGAATAAGACTAGAATCACTAATAGTTCCTGACCAGTGCAAAAATGAAATTCTTGGGCCCTTTGGTTTGCCCACCAGACACCACTTACCTGATAGCTGTTGGCATCCAGCCTATAAGCAGTCTCTGCATTACTGAACTCTGTTTTAGTTCCACAACTGACACCATCCCTACGAGATTGAAAACAGACCAGTGACATCCAAGGCACCTCTTGATCAGACTCAGAGAAACTCAAAAACAAGGATCCATCCAATCATGAACAAGGTCCTTATAACAGGTGACAGGCTTCTCCATTTCCATACTGAATAAGAGGGCTTTAGGATGTACCTTTCCACATACATCACACTTAAAATATCTTGAATCATTATTGCATTAATAAAAATAGCACTAACATATTGCTAGGGAAAATTTTTGCCAAACAGTTACAAATAGTAACCTGATTGCTGCTCAGAACAGTCATTCTTCCCAAAAGAATCATTGGGTTCCTTTCATGTGTCAGGCACAGTTCTAGGTGCTGAAGATGTGGCAGTAAACAAAACATTAAAAAAAAAACACCTGTCCTCATAAAACTTACATTCCACTGGGAGAAGGGCAGAAGCCGAGACAGCTCACAAACTAAGCAGAATGGTAATAAGTGAAAACAGAAAGCATACAGTGAATGCTGTGTGTGTATGTGCAATTTGGAAAAGGGTGGTCAGGGAAGGACTCACACACTGAGGGAACATTGAGTGAAGACCTTGAGGAGTTAAGGGAATGAGCCAAGCTGGCAGCTGGAGAAAGACTATCTCAGGCAAAAACCCTGATGTAAGAGTATGCCCGGTATGTTCAAGGAATTGCAATTGCGAGAAGCATGAGGCTGGTGTAGAGAAGGCGAAGGGGAAAAAAGAGGTCCCTGAAAGCCAATGTAAGGACTCTGGGTTTATTCAGAATGATATGAAGAACAAACCCTCACTTGAGGGCTTTGAGCAATGGAGTGACATGACTCTACTTAGATTTAAGTGTATCTCAGAAGTTTCTGTAGAGGGGTAAGAACAGATCTGAGGAATATTTAGGAAGATAATGCAATAATCCAGGCAGGAGACAGTGGTGACTTGGAGCAGGTTATCAGCAGCCGAACTTCCTTGTGTCAATTAACTTATTTTAGTTATAGCACCTCAACCTGAAGGTAGATAACTAGTCAACTCATCTCTACTACAGGCCTTAGACTAGGCTGTCTCACAGTTATGTCTTCCCACATTCCGAAAAGCTTTACAATTCCTCATCCGCTGTATAAAATCTTACCTTCTCAGAAAACAAACAAAACAAAACAAAACAAAAAACAGTAAAAGCACTAGAGACTCCTTTGGCAAGCAACACTGAATGATCAATTTCAGGGGGAGTAGAGGAGCAATTCCTGCCTTGGATGATGGGTATGGTCTTCTAAGGTCTGTTTTACTGCCAACATTCCTTGCTTAAAGTTAAATCCAAGTTCAGCTCCCACTCTTACCAGGTATGTCATAAGACGGTAGTTTAAGAACAAAGATTCCCCCAGAAGCAGACGGAAGAGCAAACAGAGCCTCCCCATCACTGCCAAGCCAAGCTGCCGAGGAGGTAGAATTAGGGGAGAGTCCAGGTACTGCTGGAATTAATTGAGAGTTGCAAGGATCCCTGAAATCAACTTTTCCAACGTCAGTAAATATTGACTGCATCTGACTTTCAATTACCAACTCCTGTGGAGTAATTAAAAAGAAAAATCTGTTAAATCAAAACAAACTCAATTTTGCTCAGTTCCTTTCAATGGCTACAAAAGTTTTAAAAGAAACAATTGAGCCTGGAAACAAAGCTGTTCTTTTTCATCAAGATTATTTCAACTTAAAAATGTGTCTAATCATTTTAAATTGTAACTATCAAAAGTATGCTTGGTAAGAGCTACCAAGAAATCCAATTTTCCTTCAATTTCTAAAGGATATTGCTCCAGCATTAGATGTGTGACAACCAGAGTAACTTGGGAAATAAAGGATATTACTCTTAACCAACTTACGCTCCTATACATCCGGGAAGGGTGTGGTAAAAGTAATCTGTGCACTGTCTGATTGGTCAAGATCAAGATTATCACATGATTCTGAGTCTCAGAGACGTGAACCCCTCCAGGTAAGAGGCTGCAATTTTGGAATTTGAGGCGAACTGCATTATTCAACAGATTTACGTCCAGTGACTCTTCCACCAGCTCCAATGTATCTCCAGAGGTCTTCCTATTAAAAAAGAGACATTTGTTTAAACAGTTTATGCTTTCCTAACTGACTGTTGTCTTGAAATATATGGAAGTGGCTTCCAGATGAACTTTCCCAATTTCAAAGTTTTGGGTAAACAAATTCAGATCAACTTTTAGAATCTAAACCATCACGATACATTCATTTGCCAACCACAGCACCATATAAAATTCCAATCTTACTATAGGATTCTCTGTTAAAATGGAGGCATTTCCAAACTTGATGGCTTATTTATTTAGGATGATGATACTCAAAGTAACTGAACCCCACTATAAAGAAAATTCACACCATGCACCCCCATTACTTACAGTGGAATGCCTCTACTATCAGTACTACAGCATCATACTATGGTGACCCTAACAAATGTGACTCTTTCCCTTTCAGTGACTTCCTCTTGGATGCAGGGAAGACCTCTTCAGGCCCGACTCTGCCATATGGTAGCACTGGATCATAGAAAACACCGTGCTGGGAGGGCCCTACCTTCTCATCAGCTCATTTGCCAGTCTGCCTGCATCCTCCCCTGAAGAGCGAGTCTCCTTCCAGCAATTCGAGGGCAACCTCTGATGTTCTCAAGTATATCCCTTCTGTGTCCACCGCTCCTTCTGCCAAAGCCTTCCCTCAACATTCAAATGCGCTCTTCCCTGGCCTCTCCCTTTCCATCACCCCATTCCTGCCACTATCTGGCTATCACCACCTCTCCTTTCCCCTCCATGGCCATGTCTTCTCTATCTCCTCATCTCCCTCATACTCTTCAACCCGCCCTCTTCTTACCAAGGTCACCACACCAATTCCAGTGGATTCCTCAGTCCTGTTCTTACTTGACCTCTTAGTAGCAGTCCCCATACTTGACAATGCTGTCTTTCTGAGAGTTTCGTTCTTGACTTCGATGATACTACCCTCTCCTGCTTTTTCCCCGTGTCTCCAGGCATTCCCTCTCCGTCTCCTGGACCTGACGCTTGCATTTTATTTCCTCCAACCTTGATTTTCGGGTGTCTTATCTGCTTACTGTACCCATCCTCTCAAAGCGCATCTTTTCCACCCCCGAAGCTGTACGCACCATGTGAACTCTAATTTCCTAGGGCTGCTTTGCTTCTCGTAACTCACGGCACGTCATCAGCACAATTTTTTGGACTCTCAACCTCGTCTCTGAAAACCTGCTTCACCTTCCTGTTTTATGGTTAAAGTTGGGTCCTGGATCTTGCCCTGGGGACACCCCCCAGAGTCCTCTCTAATGGTGGTAAGCTCTCTCTACCACACTCTCTGTGCTGGGGCCTCAAAGTGGGGCACAGCTGTCCTGCTTGCTCCCCACTGCCACTCCAGCGCCACTGTTCCTCCCTCCCTGCCCGAACTACTCAGCTCTGAGGCATGTGCAGCCAGACACCACCTACGACCCCTGCCCAGCGCAGTTATCTGCAGGTCTCTTTCATTCCTTGAAGACTAGCTCCTGGCTCACTGTTACTCTCCCACACTTCCTTTCCTGCATCTATATTTTTTTCTAATATCTCACTTTCTGCAGTTCCCCTCTAGTGATTGCTCTCGACTGTGTATGCATACACTATTATACTTCCTCCATACACTTGCATTGCCCTCCTTCGAGAATTGGAGTTCTCTACTTCTCTCACAGCGGTGCTCCTTAAGAGAGCTATTCTGTACTCACAATTCCTGTCATCTTCTCTCCAGAGCCCAGCCACTTCGGATGTTTGTACCACAGTGGGAGCAGTTTCTGACAAACCTCCACCACGCAGAGGTCTATTTTCATTTCTCTGACTTATATGCAGTATTTAACAGTTTTCCACTATTCTTCTCCTTGAAATATTTCCCTTAGCTTCTGAGATAACACTCGCTTTTTGTTCAACTCTTATGTCCCTCCTATTCCTTCCTAGTCTCCTTATCTTACTAAATATTGGAGTGCTCCAGGATTTAGTCCTCAGACCTTAACTTTCCTCCACTACACAAGTTCTCAACAGGGGAACAATCTACCCCACTCCTTAATAACATTTAATAGTACCTGGAGAAATTTTTGCTTGTCACACTGGGGAGGGGGTGCTCTTGGCCTGTAGTGGGTAGAGACCAGGGATGCTACTCAATACCCTAAAATGTGCAGGGCAGCTCCCCACAACAAAGGTTTTTCTGGCCCCAAATGCCAATACTTCTGGCGATCTCTAAGTGATCTCATTCAGTGTAATAGCTTTAAATGCCATCTAATGCCAGCAATTCCCAAATCTATATCTTTAGTCCAAACTCTCCACTGAACTGGCTACTGCCTCAACACTTCCACCTGGATATCTAACAGGGGTTTCAAATGAAACCTGTTACAGAACACCTAGACTAGCAAACCTGCAAAACAAAGAGACCAAAACACCCACTTCACCTTCACTCTTCTCCAACTCAATTAATGGCATCTCTGTAACTTCCAGTTGCTCAAGACAAAACTCTGGAGGTCACCCTTGATGCTTCTCTTTCTGTATACCCTATATCTGAACCAATAGTAATTCTAACAAACTCACCTTCAAGACATATCCACAAACAGAATATTTCTCACTGCCTCTGCCAATACCACCCTGTTCTAAGCTGCCAGCATCTCGTCTGAACCATGGCACCAACCTCCTAATCAGTCTCCCTGCTCCCAACCTTTCCCCACTATACCCTGTCCTCAATACAGCAGCCACAGCGATCCTCTAAAAACACAACCTAGATCAGGTCATTCCTCCACTTAAAACCCTTCAATGGCTTCTTCTCATCTAACTCAGAGCAAAAGTCGAAGCCTTAAAGTTACCAACAAAGCCCTGATTTGACCCGTGGCTACTTTCCTATTCTACCCTTTGATCACTTAGCTGCAGACTCCTGGCCCCTTGCCATTCTTTGAGCACAATGAACAAGCTCCTGTCTGAGGTTCCTTGCATTTTTGGTTCCTTTTTCTTGGAAGGCTCTACCTGAAAAATCTCATCCCCCAGATACCTACTTCCTCCGCTCAAATGCCAACTTCTCACTGGGTCTTCCCTGACTACCTTCTATGAAAGGTAACTGCAGGCATGTCCTACAGGCATTTCCCTTTCCTCTCACCTTGCCTCCCTGTTCTCTATTCCACTCATCACTGGACAAACTGTATTTATTTGCTTTGGGGGGTTATTGTTGTTTATTGCCTCTTTCCCTCCATGAGAGCAGGGACTTTGTTTTGTTCCCTGCTATATTCTCAGTCCCTGAACACTGACTGGAAAATATTAGGTACTAAAAAGTATTTCTTAAATAAGACTTGTACGTCAAACATAGGTCTCTCTTCTGAGCCTCAGACCTATACATTTCAAGGCCTACATGACATTTCTGAAGGGCTCCTACACAGGTAACTTCAAATGTATTGGAAAGAATTATTCACATCTCTCCATCTTCTTTGTATTAGTAAAAGGCAACTTGCCCACCCAATATCTTGTTAGTCACACCAGAAACCAGGGAATTGACTTTGTTCCCTCCATTTCCCTTCCCATCTTCTACCCCATATTCACTCTGTCACCAAGTCCTAGTGAAACTGACTTCTAAATGCATCTTAAATCCATCTATTTCTCCTTTCCTAGCTACTCCCATAAGTGAGCCACCAGCATCTCTCACGTGGACCATCATTAAAACAAGCAGTTTTTTTGTATTATACCTATCTAACTGAAATCCACCTGCCATGAAGTAAAATGATTTTTTTTTCTTTTTAAATAAAAGAAAAGGGGTCAAGACCTGAGCTGAAATCAATAATCAGACGCTTAACCAACCGAGCCACCCAGGCACCCCTAAACTGTTTTTTTTCTTAATGCAATTTTGGTTATGTTAGTAAAGAGTAACTCTTTAAAATCCTTTACTCAATTACTCAATGTGCTTGGGGGGAAAAAATCCCAAACGCTTAGAAAGGATCTGAGGGTCCTCCATAATCTGAGTCCTGCTTACTTCCCCCGTCTCAGCATCTTCACACCACTTTCCATTTCGCCCACTGTACTTAAGCCACACAGATCTCCATCCAGTTAGTTCCTCAAACCTGCCCAGTTCCTTCTATCTCATGGATTTTGCCTATGGTGATGCTGTGTGCTGGACGGCTCTGTCCCCCAATCCCCTCCCTGCCCGGCCAACTTTTCATCCTACAGATCTCGGGGTAAATGTGATATCCTTGAAGGCCTTCTCTGTCTCACTAATAACATTTGGTCCTCTCATTAGCCTCTCACAGCCCCTATACTTTTCCTATGAGGCAAGTATGAAAAATTTGTATTTATACACCTATGTCGCAGTCCCTTACTTTAGTGTCTTTTCCTTCATAAAACTGCACCATCAAAAGCAGATCCACACCCATCTTCAAACAGCTACAACATCTTGCGTGATGGAAATGGTGTTGCTTTTGTTCACCACTCCATCTCTAGCAAACTTAGATACTAGACGTGCTCAGATGCCTGATGTGAAAGAGCTCAAATGTTTTTGAAGAATTAAGGAAGCTGTAGAACACTATAAAAACACAATGACTTCAAGTTTAAGACTGGACTTTGGGGCTTTATCCCATAAGCTTCATTTCCTCTGCTTTTAGTGCTGCCTGGAAGGGCACCTCTCCTAGTACTCTGCGTCTCCCTAATTTTCCCCTGATTCAGATGTGAAAACAGTCCTCTTTTCCTATTACCGCCTCGGAGAATGACATTCTGGGAACAGCCACGAGAAGTCAGAAGTCCAACAGCCCAACCTGCCAGGGGGGTTGGCGAACACAGCACTTACCAATGAATGAACCTGTTCCTGGTGACGGCGAACAACTTGCCACTTTCCAGATAAGAGAAGCCTCCCGCGCTCTCACTGTATTTCACGGCTCCAGCCAAGGCTTTTGCAGTCCCTGCAAAAGAAGATTGGTCAGCCCGAACACCTAGCTCTTTAGGGATGACAGGGACTGAAGGCACTGAGAAAGCAGAGGGTGACGACTGACAATCCATACAAAGAGAAGGAGAAGAAAGGAGGGCGAAGTAGGACACTACGGAAGCTCTGATCCCGGGGCTATAGGCATGTGGACTTAGGGGTATGAACGAGGGGTCAGACATTTAGGGACCCATAAGAGATGCCCGAGGGGAAGGACCGGATCGCGTCCTCCTTAGCTGCTTCCGTACCAATGCCGCACACTGTGAATTCCCGAAAGTGTCTCGGCCTCTCGCGCTCAGCACCGCTGAGCTCCACGAAGCTCCGTTCCAGGGCTCCCGCCGCCGCCATCTTCCCGCCGCCGCCGCAAGGCTCGACGGGACGCAAGCAAGGATGGGAGGCCATCGTCACTTCCGGGGGTGGGGCGGGCGGAGTTGCGGACAGGTGAGGAAGCCAGAGGAGAAGAGAGGGTAAGACGGTTCGTTGCAAGGCTTCCAGTCAGTTGGCTGGAGAACGAAAGTGGGCAGGGAGGAAGTCAGAAGGGAAAGGGAAAGAGCAAGCCGATTCTGCTTGCGGGAACATTCGCCTGGCCGGCTGGGATGCCCCCCAGGGGGCGGTGCCCTTTTCCCGGCGACCTCCGGGAGCGGGGCGGGGCCGGGTTTGTTTCCATTTTGAAAACCCGGGCGCGGGCGGCGGTGGAGCTGAGCTTCCCGGGAGGGGCGAGGTCCGGGGAGGCGGGGCAGCTGAGCGCCCTCTGCCGGGTTTTCCGAGTTCGCGGTCACCCTTCCCTGCGTTGGGGTGGCAGTCCGTAAGTCTCCTGGTCTCCCTTTTGGCCTTCGGTTGACATGTGGAATGGGGAGAGGGAATCTTTTGTATTGGAATCTTTTCAAGAGGCTGTATTCGTGTAATCTTGTGTAATGATAGATATTGCGTTCGATAAAACATTGATATAACTTGCTGAGATTACCTAAATACTGCTCACTTGCGTACGTGAAGGGAATTTGCCTTTGCTTCCATTCCTCATCTGGAAGTTTGGATGATACTGTGACTTTGCCCATATCTAGGGCACAATAGATGCCCAGAACTGGGGAAAATGCTGATTTTCAGGGGAAAATGTTTTTCTTTTTTCCCCAGTAGTCAACATTTGTTAAGCAATTCTGTTATTCTTGCTATTACCAGTGACTGCAACCTTTCGCTGTCATTCTCTGTTTCATTGATCCAATGCTGACCACTCCCGCCTAACTTTCCAGCTTGCTCCTAGGACACCAACGCTAGCGATGCCATCCCTCCATCCCACCTACTGTGTCCATTGTTCTTCCACCTTTTCACTGTCCCTCATTTCCTTGAGGTTTCCTTCTTGCTCTGCTTAAGTTCCGTTTAAATTACTCCTTTGCCTAGCTCTCTTCCTCTTCATTATGCTCTGGTAAAAACTACAGCTTTGATTGAATCCAAGTCTGCAGCTGAACAGGGCTGGAATAAAATACGCATACAGATGACTTCCTCTACCTCCATTAGGCTTCTAAACCTTGAGTGGGTCCATATTGCTGCCCAACAAACACATCGTACTTCCTTTGTCCACTTATGGTCCAAGATATGAGTATTTCACAACTTCTCTAACCGGTAACACCTCCTCCCTCCTCCTCACTCTCAGCTTGCATTTTCACTTACAAGATTGATGCAATCGAAAGAGAATTTCCCTCACTACCACCTCTCCCTACCTGCCTCCATCTGTACCCATATACAATGTCTTCCTGTACTGTTACCACTATAAATTGAACTGCCCCTGAACTTACGGGAGGACAACCTTTTTACCTTTTTTCCAGATCACCTGCTCAAGGACACCATTCTAGTAGTTATATCCTCTCTCCTGCGTCTTCAACCCCTGCTCCTATTTACTGACTTGCTTCCCTAAGCACACAAACATGCTGTTATTTTTCCTTCTCCCCACACACAGAAACCCTCATTTGGTCTCTGCTTTCTTTAGCTACTGTCTCCTACCTCCGAGCTGTTCTTCACTGTTAGAGCAGAATTCAAGAGCTTTCTGTTTAATTTCTTTTCTTCCAATCTCTCCCTTTTTTAACATTTAGTTTAATTATTATTATTATTTTTAAAACTTACATCCAAATTAGTTAGCATATAGTGCAACAATGATTTCAGGAGTAGATTCCTTAATCTACTCATTTAGCCCATCCCCCCTCCCACAACCCCTCCCGTAACCCTCAGTTTGCTCTCTATATTTATGAGTCTCTTCTGTTTTGTCCCCCTCCTTGTTTTTATGTTATTTTTGTTTCCCTTCCCTTATGTTCATCTGTTTTGTGTCTTAAAGTCCTCATATGAGTGAAGTCATGTGATTTTTGCCTTTCTCTGACTAATTTCACTTAGCATAATACCCTCCAGTTCCATCCTCGTAGTTGCAAATGGCAAGATTTCATCCTTTTTGATTGCCGAGTAATACTCCATTGTATATATATATCCCACATCTTCTTTATCCATTCATCCATCGATGGACACCTGGGCTCTTTCCATACTTTGGCTATTGTTGATAGAGCTGCTATAGACATGGGGGTGCATGTGTCCCTTCGAAAGAGCACACCTGTATCCCTTAGATAAATGCCTAGTAGTGCAATTGCTGGGTCGTAGGGGAGTTCTATTTTTAGTTTTTGAGGAACCTCCATACTGAGGTTCCAGAGTGGCTGCACCAGCTTGCAGTCCCATCTTCCAGTCTCTCTTAAACCCACTATTATCAGGCTTTTACTCCTGCTGTTCTACTGAAGCAGCTTTTTTCAAGATCTCCAATGACATCCATCATATCTAACTCTGAACTCTTATTCCTTTTTCTTTTTTTAAAAAGTAATCTCTAGGGCGCCTGGGTGGCGCAGTCAGTTAAGCGTCCGACTTCAGCCAGGTCACGATCTCGCGGTCCGGGAGCTCGAGCCCCGCGTCGGGCTCTGGGCTGATGGCTCAGAGCCTGGAGCCTGTTTCCGATTCTGTGTCTCCCTCTCTCTCTGCCCCTCCCCCATTCATGCTCTGTCTCTCTCTGTCCCAAAAATAAATAAAAACGTTGAAGGAAAAAAAAAAATTAAAAAAAAAAAGTAATCTCTACACTTAATGTGGGGCTCGAACTCATGACCCCAAGATCGAGAGTTGCATGCTCTACAGACTCAGACAGCCAGACACCCCTGAATTCTTAACCCTGAACTTAACTTGACCATCTGCAGCATTTGAACAATTAGTTGCTTTCTTGCTCACTTTCTTCACACGGCCTCCAGGGCACCACACTACACCCTCTTGTTTTCCTCCCATTTCACTGACTGTTTCTTTTCAGACTCCTTTGCTAATTTGCTTCTCTTTTCCCCAACCCTCTTAATGTTGGAGTACCCCAGAGCTCAGTTTTTGAGCCTGTCTACAAATAACTCCCCTGAGGATTTCATGCAGTCTTCTGGCTTTAAATACTAGATTGCTACATTCTGATAATTCCCAGATGCAGATCTCCAGTGTAAAAACCTTTCTCCCTTGAACTCCAACCTTATGCATCCAACTGCCTATTCTTTTTCTTTTTCTTTTTCTTTTTTTTAGAGTTTTCATTTTTAAAGTAAGCTCTAGGCCCAACATAGAGCTTGAACTCACGAAGCCAAGATCAAGAGTCACATGCTCTACTGACTGAGCCAGCCAGGCACCCAGTCCCTTGAGTGCTCAGTCTTTGCATTCATCTGCCTACAAACATCACTGGGATTCCCCCACAGACCTCTCAACCTCAACATATCCAGGACTTAACTCATTTTATCTCACTCTACACCATTATGTGATTATGTGCCTATCAGTACCCAGTGACCTGATTTAGAAATCTAGGAATCATACTGGGCACAGAGATCCTAAAACCCTTGGAATTCCCTAAGTGATGAGAGGATAAAGGTGTCTTTTTTTATGTTAACGAAGTGACTTTTGGAAAGTCCCTAGGTAACTTAAAGGTGGGGGCTGGTTGCCAGGGGAAGCAACCGTGTGATTTGAAGGTTGGAACTTTCAGCCCCACCCCAGCCCCCAATCTCTGGGGAGGTTTGCGAGGTTGGAGATTGAGTGCAGTCACCAATGGTCAATGATCTAATCAACCACGCCTATATAATGAAGCCTCCGTGAAAGCCCCGAAGGGTGGGTTTGGAGAGCTTCAAGATTGGTGAACCAGAATAAACCCATTGTACTGTGCCCGAAATTCCATGGGAACAGAAGCTCTTGCATTCAGGACCTTGCCCTATGTATCTCTATCTGGCTGTTTATTCATATCCTTTAGTATCCTTTGTAATAAACCAAAATCTAGTAAGTAAACTGTTCTGAGTTCTGTGAGCCACTCTAGCAGTTAATCAAACTGAAGGAAGGGGTTGTGGGAACCTCCAGTTTATAGCCAATGGTCAGAAGCACATGTGACAACCTGAACTTGCAATTGGCATCTGAAATGGGAGCAGTGTTGTGGGACTGAGCCCTTAACTTATGAAATCTGATGTTATTTCCAGGTAGATAGTGTCAGAATTGAGTTAAATTTGTGGGATATCTGGTCAGTGTCCACAGGAGTTGAGTTAATTGCCTGGTGGTATGGAAAAGTCCCACACACTGGACTTCTGAAAACTCTACTTTTAAATATCATGACAGTACGGATTAGGTTTCAACATACTAATTTGGGAGGTGGTGGTGAGGACACAAACATTCAGTCTCTAACACTTCTTAAAAAGTTTCGGGGACTCAAAAAAGCCTTTCAGGGTCTCCCTGTTGCCCTGACTTCCAAGGTCTTTGTCCTAGTTTAAGCTTATCTACCTTCTTTAAATTCTTTTTTTTTTTTTTAATTTTTTTTTCAACGTTTATTTATTTTTGGGACAGAGAGAGACAGAGCATGAACGGGGGAGGGGCAGAGAGAGAGAAGGAGACACAGAATCGGAAACAGGCTCCAGGCTCTGAGCCATCAGCCCAGAGCCGGACGCGGGGCTCGAACTCCCGGACCGTGAGATCGTGACCTGGCTGAAGTTGGACGCTTAACCGACTGCGCCACCCAGGCGCCCCTTTTATTTATTTATTTATTATTAAAAAAAAAAAAAAAAAAAATTTTTTTTTTTTTTTTTTAAATTCTTGAATCTCCTTGAGGGAGAAACACACTGTCCCAGGCGTAGACTGCCTTGTTCATACAGTGGGAGTCTTAACTTGAGTCCAAGTGGGATTTGGTCATATCTGGGCACATCTGTCAAACCTGTGTGATGGGTTTGCCCGAAACCTACTTGCTAGGGGACTGAAAAGGGACTTGGGGAAAAAAGTTTGCCTTAGGGCAAAAGGAACCTGTAGTAGTTTGATTTGGGACTTAGTTGTAGTGGAGGGATCATTGTGAGTACATTGTGATTCGCCTACCTCCCTGGTTCCTACTGGACTTATATCTGATGTCCATGGAGAGCAGAGTGGGGAACTAGGAAGACAAAAAGACTAAGTACATTATAAAATCTATAAAACATTGAGCGCCCTCA